AATAGTTTTCCTTACAGTACTTTTCAATGCAGTTTTACGCCTTGAATACTTCCCAATACAGTGGAAGGTTTCACAAATTGTTGTTATTCCGAAACCTGGTAAACCTTTAAATCAAGCATCCTCGTATCGGCCTATATCTCTTCTTCCTGTGGTTTCTAAAGTTTTTGAAAAACTTTTCTTAAAAAGACTCCAAATTATAATTGATGAAAAAGAATTGTTGCCTTCCCATCAGTTTGGATTCCGCCGAAGGCATTCCACCATTGAGCAAGTGCATAGAATAGTGAATGTAATCAAGGAAGATCTTGAAAATAAACGTTTTTGTTCATCTGCTTTTTTGGACGTAGCCCAGGCGTTTGATAAAGTCTGGCACACAGGATTATTGTTCAAAATTAAAACTTTGCTGCCCCATACATACTATGGAGTGTTGAAATCGTATTTGTCCAAACGCTTTTTTCAAATTAAATATCAAGATATAGTTACAGATGTGCATGAAATTGAATCAGGTGTACCACAAGGCAGTGTTCTTGGACCTATTTTGAATATTTTGTTCACTTATGACCTTCCAAGTACTCAGGGTATTACGGTTGCAACATTTGCAGACGACACTGCTTTTTTATCATCAAATCAGGATCCTATTCTGGCATCATCAAACCTTCAGGCTGCATTAGACGATTTGTCTCAGTGGCTACAGAATTGGAAAATTAAAGTAAATGAAACAAAATCCGTTCAAGTTACATTTACTATGTCCACAAGAACTTGTCCCCCAGTAACATTGAATAATGTCATGCTTCCACAATCCAACGAAGTTAAGTACCTTGGTATGCATCTCGACAGACGGCTTACATGGCATTCACACATTTGGAACAAACGACTTCATTTAAATTTAAAAACAAACAAACTAAATTGGCTCATTGGTCGAAATTCAAAATTATCTGTTGAAAATAAATTACTTTTATACAAAATTATATTGAAACCTATTTGGACCTACGGTATCCAACTCTGGGGAACCACTTCCAACTCAAACATAGAAATAGTTCAAAGGTTTCAATCGAAAACATTGAGAAAAATTTTACAAGCACCTTGGTTTGTCACAAATAAAGTAATTCATCATGATACAAAATTACCCTATGTTAAAGAAGAAATAAAGAAACGAAGTGAAAAATACCAAAGAAAATTAGAAACCCATCCAAATTTCCTGGCAGTCAACCTCCTCGACAATAGTGAAGCTATACATATAGGCTCAAAAGAGTTAATCCAATAGACCTTCCAAATCGTTTTTAGTTAAACTTTTTAAAAGTTTTTTTTATGTCAGTGCACTTGATGGAGTGTAACTAACCCATGTTAAAATGGTTATATAATTTACTTATTATTCTAGTATAAGAATAGATTGTAAATAAATATTTGTTAAAAAAAAAAAACCTAAATATGTTTTTTATGATGTACATGCGATATGAATAAATAAATAAAATTCCCAGTAACACTAAACTAGACATAGACATTATCGACAACAATGCATATCAGCTGATCTGCACCTAATGAAGTAATGGAACCAGGGCTGCTAACATGAGCTAGTTTAGTCCATAAACAGTCTATCTGTTGTTTTAATTTTCGTTGCATTAAAAACACCCTGTGTTTTCAAATTTGTGTTTGTTTATAAACATTGTCTTCTAACTGGAGGTATTATTTTAATACTCCCACAGCAGCAAACCTGCTGCCTAATCAGATTTCCATTTACCTGGCTAGATTTCCACTAAAATATTCCTTAAAATCCGATTTATTTCCAAAACAAAAAATTTAATGATCACTTAGGTTTGCTGCTACAGGGAAGGTAATGAGGTGTGTTTTTTAATGAAAATGCTGATAGCTTAGTATGAAATAAACAAAATTACCAAATATTCATAACATGCAAACTACAACAGTTTATTTATTCTCCATAATAATTATGTGGAAATTTTAAAGATACACTTTTTTTAATTGCACTTGGCGTTAACATTGTGGGCGCCTTGTAAATTGTATCAAGATGGGAAGGAGTAATATTTTGCAATAGGGAATTAATCTGACCCGTTTAAGGAAATATATAAGTGAAAAATCCAATCAGGCAAATGGGAATTTGCTTGGTCAGCAGTTTTGCTGTGGCGGGGGTATTTTTTATTATTATTATGATACTTCAATTTCTATCATCATTGAGTACCTTTTGGAAAAAATACTTCATTTACACTGTGTTGAAGTAAATGAAATTAACTAGTTCACAGTATTGAGTAAAAAAGGTTCTAGTAACAACGAAATGTTTTTAAAATCCTTGTATTTTAACAAAAATAAATATACAGCACAGACATCCCATCAAAACAGCCTTTTTTCAGACTTATAATCTAGCATTTTTTTTAAAATTGCAACACAGGAAATATAAAGTTGGAAATGTTACGAGATCTTGGGTAATAAATCACAAAGGATACTGTAATATGAAACCATGTATAACTTTTTTCGTAGTATTACATAGTTTCAAACAACCAGAAAAATTATTGGAATGATTTTTCAAACCTTCTGCTAGAAAACAATAGGTTACTCTTTTGAAGAATTAAAATTAGGAATTGACAATGAGTATTTTAGAGTACAGTAAATAAAAACCATAGGCTATATAAAAATAAAATAAAATCTAAGACTAGGAATTGCCAACAAAATAACATTTTTTTGTTTTGAAAAGAGGAACAAAATGTATATATACGGGTGGGTGAAAAGTCCCTACCCACTGCTGCAAAGTTTTACCAGCCCACCATAGTATGGGGAATCTGGAGAGCGGCAAGATGGCAGATACAAGTGTGTTCACTATTGAGGAGTGTCTGGTGGTTTGTTTGGTTTCATGAACTTCCAAGAAGTAGAAAAACTATGGATGAACTGATGGACTACTTAGTTGTGCGTTCTGGAAAACCGTCACCAAATCGAACAACTTTGTTGACGTGGGTAAACAAAGCTTTTGCAACGGGAAGTGTTCTTGATGCGCCACATAGCGGGAGGCCAAGCACTTGTCTGGAGACTTGTGCTGCTGTGAAAGAGTCAATTCATTGATTGCCAATTAAATCTACAGCTAAATGTTCAGCAGAGTTAGACGTTCCACGGTCGACAATGAGAGATCATATTCAAAAAGATTTTTTGAAAAGGAAGAATCAACGGACATGGCACTGAATCAAACATGATGCACATGGTGGGATGCACACAATTTTTTTGGATTCCTAATAATGTAAGCATTGCAAAATGGAAAAAAGTTGAAATATTAATGTATTTTACACTTCTCTCTAATTAACACATGATTTATTTATTTACTCCACCAAAGAGTAGGGACTTTTCATCCACCCTGTACATAAAAAATTGGGCAAACATTTATTCTGTAACAGTGTTGCCTTGAACTAAAAAGTAATAATTTGTTTGGTTTGTAAATTAACTTTGAGGAAAAAGCACCATATTGTTTAGGTTTAACTAAATTCACAGGAATATTTGGTTTTCTGTACAACCTTACACAACTAGGGTAATACTAGACTATTGACAATTGGGATACTGAAATAGACAGTCTATCTATATGGACAGGTGTCGCCAATTTGTTATTTGAAAAGAACATAGTCCTATATGCCAATCTCAGATTGTGCTAGAATCTAAAATTCTATTTTCTGCCTTATATTTTTTGTTATTGAGATAGTTGACGTGTAACAAAAGATGCTTGCACTTACAATAAGTCGTCCTACTTGTTTGACTTGGTTAAAAAGTCTGCATATTCGAAAGAAATCAGTAATCCACAGCACAATCTGTTGGTGGCTCACTTCAACTACGTCCACTTCTATTTCAAAACTGGCGACAACTTTAACATGGGGATGGAATGTCTATTTTTGTCAATAGTCAAAGCACTAGACATAGTTAAATATTTATCATAAAATGTGTAAAAGAAAAATCTCGAGTTTTATCAAGCAAAAGATCAATTTAAATACTTATTTGTAGTGTAAAACAATCACAGTCACTAGACTATTTCATATTGGAAGTATCAAATAAATCAACTAGATGTGCCACAAATACAGGGTGTTTCAGAATTAGTGTAGGATATTTTAGGGTATTATTCCTGGGTAAGAAACATATCCAAATATCATATTTAAACAGTCCGGAAGTCTTTATTTACTCAAACAGCCGCCATTTTGTTTTTTTCCTTTAATATTTTTTTTAAAGAGAATGGTAAAACATACGGAATTGAAACTTTGCACAAACATTTCTGACTACTAGGCAAAGCTACAAAAAAATTATGAACATTTTCCAAATACATAAAACAAAATGGCGGCCATTTAAAATTTTGTTTCTTAGATAACTCAAAAACCGTTGATTTTATGAAAATTTTACAAGAATAACTTTTTTTAGGTAATTTTATTACAAATCGATTGACACCTTAATTTTTACAATTGAACGTATATTAACTGAGATATGGCAGTTTTAGTGATACGTGACCACTGGAGGTTAGTTGTAGTGCATGCGGCGGGCTAAAGTCTGCCACAACAATGCATGGCTCCGCAAGCACTACAACTAGCCTCCAGTGGTCACGTATCACTAAAACTGCCATATCTCAGTTAATATACGTTCAATTGTAAAAATTAAGGTGTCAATCGATTTGTAATAAAATTACCTAAAAAAAGTTATTCTTGTAAAATTTTCATAAAATCAACGGTTTTTGAGTTATCTAAGAAACAAAATTTTAAATGGCCGCCATTTTGTTTTATGTATTTGGAAAATGTTCATAATTTTTTTGTAGCTTTGCCTAGTAGTCAGAAATGTTTTTGCAAAGTTTCAATTCCGTATGTTTTACCATTCTCTTTAAAAAAAATATTAAAGGAAAAAACAAAATGGCGGCTGTTTGAGTAAATAAAGACTTCCGGACTGTTTAAATATGATATTTGGATATGTTTCTTACCCAGGAATAATACCCTAAAATATCCGACACTGATTCTGAAACACCCTGTATAATTATCATTTTCACTGATTATTACAGTCATTGTTGTGTGACTCTACCATTGGTTACAAAACAACTTCAACCATAGGCGCATCTGTTCAAACATTGCAGTGGCCCTCCAACATAACAGCAGAAAATGTTTTTAAGAACTGCTAGTATGTTTTATAACAAACAAACAATTGTTATAATGTTCAAGAACTATAACTAGCCTTTAACTTGTTCACCCAAAAAACTATATAAATAATACTGCCTGTGCACCTTATCTAAACACCGAAACACTCAATGTAAACTGCATTATAAGGCATTGTATGTACAGTAAATTTATTGATAATCTATTATTCGCTTTGCATACTGTTTTACTTCAAGCACTTAAAATTGCTTCAATTTTATGGTCTATTAACAAGTTTGTACTAAGAAATAGGTGAAACCAAGCAATAAGCTATTTAAAGTCGGGACCACGTACGTTTGCAGTTGAGGGAGGAGCCCATTTACCATATGGTTTTGAATGAACTAATGAGAACCGTGCGGTATTGCCAATTCTAATAATACCAGCTGATTTGAAAATATTGCTTAGTATATTTTAATTAGCGTTGTCAACGTGCGATGTGGCAACATCGCACTAGCCTTGTCTTGTGATTGGCTGCTATCAACTGCAAACTTACGTGGTCCCGACTGTAAACACATGGTAACTTAATCTTCCAGGAATTTACCCATTCAAAGAAAATGAATGGGTGAAACATTCGGTTGTAAGATATTTCTAGCGATATGTTATAGGTATATTACTAGATATATTACTATCTAGGTATTTACATGCAACAATAAGCAAATGATACATTCAGTAAATAAATCTGGTCAGTTATTAATATTATATCGACACTTGTTCTATCAGTCTGAGATGAATTTACAAGGGCTGTCCTTATAGTGGTCGTTCAACTACCGTCGCGCCAAAATCCATGTTCTTGCCAAGTATAAAATGCATTCTGTGATTAGATTTCTATCGTCTAAGGCCGATCCTGAAGTCCATCACCCTTGACAGATGAGAATGGAGTTAAGTGTTTGAATATAAAAATGTGTGTAAGGGGTGGAAATATCCCTAAGGCAGTTGTAAGTATTGTAAACTATTTGTAGTGTTTTACATGGTGTAGGGTGGTTGCGGCATCTGTCTTGTCAGAGGCAGTGATCAGGTTAGTTAGGAAGTTAGGGGATTTTGCCTGTGGATCGCATTATGACTGAATGAAAGCAAAGTTTCCTGCACTTAAACCACTATGGGAACTGATCGACACTTGCAATGTGAAGGGGCTTAAATACAGATGAGAAGCCTATGTACTTATCACCCTTCGTTTTGCAAGCCACGTGAAGAACACATGCTCCTAGCATCGTTGTGCAAACGTGCACGGCCTTCTACAAACTCTCTAAGCCACTATGTACATTTTTGACGTCTAAAATGCTTTTCTGATTACACATCTAATTATCATTATCATTCTGAGGTACGCCACCTAGGTTTGTATTAAGCCAAATATGAATGAAGGATGAGTGTAGAATGTTATGAGATAATCTGTGTAGCTTTGTTACTAAGATCAGCTGTTTCATAAGCCAGGATCATTTATTAGGGACAACTGGGTCTAGTTTCGAACCATCAAAAGACTACTGAGTTTTCTTAGGAACAAACCTACGACCTTTTGATTGTTCGGCGAGCAACTTTGATCTGTCAACTGGCAATGGATTTCAATAGGAGTTGACCTCCTTCCAACAGAAATTTGATCATGGAATGTGATTCATACTTCTGTCATATCATGTTTGTCTACTATGAGAGTAATCATTGCATAGGGATAGGAAACAGTTAGAGTAGTAGAGGATGAGATCAAGAGCAAGACATAGGTGTCAGATTTAAAGTAGTTTGGTTGGGATGGGAGCTTGATAGAGACTTAATATAGAAAGCCTTTGTATAATTAGCAAAATAATTCAAGATTTATAAAGAGCTAAATTCAACTTAACATTCAGTTCTGGTATTTCTGATCTTAAGCAGGCTAAGGGCTGATCCCATTGGTTATCACTATGACAAAAGTAGGTATAACAACATACTTGAAATATGTACCCTAAGTTAGAGAAAAGGTAGCTATGTTTGTTAAACATTTACATAACTCAACATGCTACAGTAGGATATAGGTACAAATTAAATGTTTCAGTTGTACGATTCAGTTCTTAAATTAAGATAGGCTTAAGTATATTCAGCTATTCAAGCTTGGGATCAGCAGGTCAGAAGAGATTCAATCTCTTCAGAATAATCGACAGCAAAAATATTTAATTTTTATTTAACTTACTACTGAATATGTAAATGACAGTAAAATTTAGAAAAATCAGCAGGTTATGTTCTACTATTTTTTTCTAAATTCTACTCTCATTAGTAGAAAATCGTCAATTGAATAAGTTATGGAGATAAAATGTTGTGAGTTGAAGACCTGTGATTACGGCACTGATGAGATTAAAATTTAGATTTGGTTATTTATGAAAATGATTAATGCTTTACAACAAACTGAGCTCATCGGTATCATGAGAACAGTGTAAAATGGCATCACAGCAAGACATAAGCTATTTAAATGAATACATGGAGTATGAAATAGATGTGGTCTAGTTTAATTCAGTCACTGGCTTTGACCAGGTTATGTATTAAAATTAAAAACTTATTCATAATTTATAAAATCTCCTGCTTCAATGGGTGAAAGCACTCTAGTAGAAATTGAGATAAAGCATTTTGAGAATCACTACGCCCAGTCAAAGAAAAAATTGAGAACAAAATCTCATTGTCATCGTACACACTATAAACGCACATATAAAAACTAACAAACTAATAAAAATGGTAACTCAATAATACTCAATGGGTCTGACATAAAGATACTACTTAGGCAATGAGGTGTTGGAGTTCTGGTGACTTCTTAAGGTGGACTGTACTGGCAAGTGTGAGTCACCTCTTGAAGTAGACTGTACCATGTGTGTTTCTTGGGAACTTCTGGAAGTATACTGTGCTGCATTGTGTGTATCATGAGGACTTCTTGAAGTAGACTGTACTGGACTCCTTGAAGTGGACTGTACAGGGGAATGTGTGTTGTGCGTCTGGGTTACCTGATCGACTGTACTCGGTTCACAGACTGTATTGCTGGATTGCTCCACAACGTCCGGTGACATTTGCTCGGAGTGGTGCCTGTGATTCTCAGATACAACAGACTCATAGCTCGGTGGAGGGCCATACATCTGGTAATATGCGGAAGGCTTCAGCTTGGCCAGTTGACTAGACACTTCGCCAGGTCTAGAGGATTGCGTCACCTCGCTGGTGCCTTGGACCAGACTGTACGCTGGTGGTGGGTTGGGGAAGCCCACTGGTGTATTTCCTTCATCAAAGATGAATATTATTAATGGTGAATTGAAAAAGGGCTACTTTTTTTTAAAAAAGGACAAACTTTAGCTAGCTTATCTGAGAAATATAGAGCCCAGGGGCTAATAGATAGGCCTACACAACGTAGGACTACAAAACCACAGAGAAGTAAGATACAGAGGACAACCTTGTGCTTTCAGCTCTGGTATGTTCGGGAGGAAATATACTTGTAAAGAGCGAGGAAGAGCCCAAACGGCGAGAACTGTGCAGAAATTCCTATTGCACAGGGTCTTCCTCCACCATGAGCGTTGCAGTACATGAGAGCGAGACGGACGGTGCGGGACTTTGCCCTAGACACCAGCACTCTTGCTAGACACCATTAAATTGTACCATGGAGTGTATCCTCTGGTCCTTACTTCTCTGTGACAAAACATAACACCTGTATTTTGTCCCATTAAATGACTTCTTCAGAGAGTAGACTGAAGACAAATTTGCAAAACAAATCCTGATTATTAGTGAGTAGATGAGGTCTGATCTTGTGTTCAGATGTAAGTATTTAGTACATTACAAGAAAAGTACACAAACTCCGCTGAAGCTGGGAAAACACTATAACAAATTTTATTAGAGATTTTATTATATTTGACTTGGTAGTATGCTGTTCTTTGAATGGGTTTTATTGTGTTTACCCAAGTTTTGCTGGGTTTGCGTCCTATGTTTCTAATGTTCCACAAGAGAACAAGATCAGATTCCAGACCCCTAAAAACTTTGTTATCAAACGGTGATGGAAAATATTCACAATTTTTACATGCTTGTTTTATTTGTTTATTTATTTGTTATGAATTGTGTTGATTTATTGACCAAATCAAAACCGATTTGATTTTCATAGACCAATGTTGATATTTCCAATAGAAAATGGTTACTCACTCTGAGGTTTCCATATCTGCTGCACCACCACAGTGTTGCGGCCGGCGTGGTAGGCTACTCTGGTGGGTGGCGGACGACGCAGCTGTGGTCGGTTGGGTGGAGGGGGTGGCCTTGGGTAGTGGCCTTCGTGTAGCCAGTACCTGTACAATAACGGTAAACCATGAAAACAAATGTGGTTCTTGACAATATAAATAAAAAAAGATATAGTATGGTAGAACCTCGATAACAAGTGTACCATGAGGCTTATCGATTAAGACTTGTAATCAAGATTTACATCTTATATGTAGAGCTTTGCAATAACATGTGATTGGGATATAAATTAAGGGTATTTGAAAATAACTTTTGTTATCAAGGGTTCTGTAATTGAGGTCACTTTGTATATTTGTATCCTAATGGTAATTTTTGTGATGATAGTAACAATATTTCTTGTAGCCTACTGCACAGAAAGCTGTTTTCTAGACATGTTAACCAATGTTGCTCTTCTTAACCAAAGGGTGAAAAAGAACGTGTAGGAGTCCAAAACATACATTTTGTGTCCTTGTAAACTCGTCCACTGATTTTGCTAAAAAAAGTTCTGAGCTTTTTGGGAGCTAACTTGTAAAAGTAACAATATATGCAGCATTTTAATTTTTAGAAGTGTAAAAAATAATGTAGTAGCATTGACTATTGGCTATTGACTATTGGATACAGAAGAAGACATCCCATCTATATGGATCAGCTGTCGCTAATTTTTTACTAAAAACTAATGCAGATGTGTGAGCCAGTCACAGATTGCTCTAGTGTCTAAAACTCTATTTTGTACCTTTTTTTACTAACATATTTACTGGACTAATATGAGGTACAAAATGGCTTTACGTCAACAGTTCAATTGTTGTAAGTAGAACTCACAACATGTTTCGCCTATTCAGTCAATTCCCGCTCTCAGCCAAAGACTACCAGAAAGAATTAAGTATAATTAAGCACATAGCTATTTCCAATGGTTACAAACAGAGCATAATAGATAAACTGGTAACAAAATTGAAAACCAAACCAAAAGCTCCTGTACTAGGGCTAAATGAACCTGAGATGAAATACATCTGCATTGAATACAGCCACTTAGCTCAGAACGGACTCAACAAAGTTTTAAGGAAACACGGGCTTAAATTAACATTTAGAACTACCAATAAAACCAAACAAGCTTTAACAAAAAAAAATGTTGTTGAAAACAAGTTAGACAAGTCTGGAGTTTATAAATTGAAGTGTATGGATTGTCCGGATTTTTATATTGGACAAACAGGCAGATCGTTTACTCAACGACACAAGGAACATCGCCCCGACCCCAGAGCAGACAAACAAAAATCCACTTTCGCCCAACATTTATTAGATAAAAATCACACCATAGATACAATTGACAATAGCCTGGAAATTTTCCATGTTTGTAATCAAGGAAATAAATTGGATTCTCTAGAACAGTTTGAAATTTACAAAAGCTTCCAAGACAGCCACAATAAAAACCATATTTTAAATGACCAGTTAAATTTCAAATCACACTCTATCTTCAATGCCATAATAGCCTAGAACCGTTTGACCTTTGTAGTACAACTACTGATTACGGAGGAGGGGTCGGTGTTACATAATTCCAGCAAGTTCAGTCTGCCTCCGTACCGCGACCGGTAATAGTAGGCCTACTCTATTTGTTAAATGTTTTTGTGCTTAATGTGTGTGTATTTATTTAAATGTTTCTTGACGACTCCATCATGGATGAAGACAAAGCATTCTTGCTAGGATACCACCTGACGATGCCTGAATAGGCGAAACATGTTGTGAGTTCTACTTACTACAATTGAACTGTTGACGTAAAGGTATGTACCTCATATTAGTCTAACAAACAGTTCAGGGGCTAAATCCTGAATTTTAATATTTACTGGGTCATAACAGTTGCTATAGCTCATAATAAGTCATTCCATCAGTTTGACTTGGTAAAAACCATCGTGTAATCGGCAGAAATCAGTAATTTAGATCAGCACAATCTGTAGGTGGCTCACGTCAACTAAGACAAATTTGATCAAAAACCTGGCGACAAATTTTTTAACATGGGGATGGAATGTCTAAAAGGTAGTAGCCTATGACATAAAATGTAGTTCACCACATTGGACAAATGTATCTTCTTAACTATAGGCTAGCCCTAACTACCAAACGCCACTCCTGACTCATTTCCCAAACTCAACTTCTTCTCGATTCTTAAACTTGATATGGTATGAAAATGAGTCTTGTTAAACCCTAGTGGTCAAACCTACTGTTTTGTATTCACAAATTTAAATCATTTTGGTATTGTTAAATAGAGTTTAACTAAAGTCTTTGCAAAATTACAAGGATTGATGATAGTAAATGGTAACTTAAGCTACTGGTCTCTATTTTGTAACCAACCTGTACCACCAGGTTCCCCCAGAGCATAGAAGGAACATGAGGATGACCATGAGCCAGTAGTACCACAACTGGTAGAAGTGAAAGTTGGACGAGATGCAGCATCCGAACGTACAGCAGATCTCATTGCGGGGACAGCTGTACATAGAATGTTGGATAAGTTGCAAAGGTGTTTCTCCACCAACATTCGATACGAGGGGTAACACTGCTTGCCTTTACGAGAGGCAAGTGCTTTAGGAGGGGTAATAGTGCTTGCCTTTACAAGGGGTAATAATGCTTGCCTTTATGAGGCGTAATAGTGCTTGAATTTATGAGGCGTAATAGTGCTTGCATTTATGAGGCGTCGTAATAGTTCTTGCCTTTACGAGGGGTATAATAGTGTTTGCCTTTTTGAGGCGTATTAGTTCTTGCCTTTACAAGGGGTGTAATAGTGTTTGCCTTTACGAGGGGTAATAGTGTTTGCCTTTACAAGGTGTAATAGTGATTCCCATTAAGAGGCGTAATAGTGCTTGGTACGTACATCTTGGTATCACCGGTTTGATTCCAAGTATTGTTTCTATACCCAGATGCAGTTTGACAGTGGGCTATCAATTAATGATGCTCTTATTCAAAAGGTCTATTTTGGATAGTAACAAGACCGATGTAGTAACACTTCGGCCCAGTAACATTTCGGCCAAACTCAAATTTCTTAGAAAAACAGTATCACTTTGTCCCACTCGCTTTTACAGATGATTAAATAAAGTCAAAGTCAAAGTCAAAGTCATCTTTATTGTCACAAAACGTTTTTTTTATGCTCTGGCACAGCCAGACAAAACAGGTGACATTGACAAACTATACTAAAATAAACTAGCTTATATTGGTAAAAATAAATACATAGTAGGTAACAAAACAAACAATTCACATTGATTTATCTTCAAGAAACTGACCAATACTATAATAATTCTTTTCCAATAAAAATTCAAAAATTTTTTCTAATAAGCTAATGGAGTAACATTTCGGCCCGACAAAAAATTTACAAGGGTTGAGGAACGCAGTTCAGGTAGTCAGAGGTACATGACCTGTATACTTTGCAACCACCCTACTCTGCAACCAGGAATGTCGCCCAATCGTCATGGAGTTACTAACCTAACCTAACCTAACCTAACCTAAATCCTCCCAAATAGTTAGTGAAGACCTGTCAAATATTAATTTTGTTGGGACGAAGTGTTACTAGTGGGCAGGTAGAGAGTTGGACCGCAGGCCACATCTGAGGATTTCGGGCCGAAATGTTACTGGGCCGAAGTGTCACTTGGGCCGAAGTGTTACGACACGACAAGACCAGGGTTAGGGCTGTTCCCTTATAAACCGGTTGAAAATGCCAATGGCATAGGAACCCACAAAATAAACGTCACAACCATGTATTCACTGGTTACTTGGAGTAAATACAATGTGTAGATAGTTTTGATATTTTGTAATTCATAAGAGAATTAACTCACAGAAAAATAAATTAAATGACAATAGGCCTATAGTTGAAACAAAATTAAGTCTCTGAGCAAACATTTAATGTGGTATTATTATTTAGCTAACAAATAATTAGCATAAATATATCTTAAAGCAAAACAATTATGTAAATTCATCATTTGACACTACTGGCAATGGTTCGGTCAATAGATTTTGATTCAGGAAAAGTTAAGCTTACTTCAATAATTATTGAAAAACGTATGGGGAATCAGTTTCTGTAATTTGAACGTAGATTCTAATTTGATAGGCCTACTAGAAACATTTTCTTGGTACTGTATAATAATAAATATCTTGGTTAGTAAAAATAGGTTGTATTGTGATTTATACCTAATTAAATTGACTCTCTTAGAGTCTGGCCTAATGACCTGTGGCAACATAAAACAATCAATAACAATGGTAATGAATGATTGAATTTCATTCAAAATACTTGCGTCACTCTAAAGATGAATGACAAGTTACTCTAGTTACGATGCGAAAATGACTAATAGGCCTAAAATAAACAGGTACGCAAATCTAAAATGAGCTTGTGTTCTGTTTACACTCTTTGAAAACAGGTTTGCCAATTATATGTCCCAAACAATCAAGCTGTATTTGTTCATAAAACTTTTCTATAAAATGAATGTTTGCTAGTGGTACCGGTACTTACATGTAATACTTGACGTCTCCATCTATTTCAATTGGACAGTATTTAGCCTCCACCTGTAAAAAAGTTTATGTAAAGAAATCTCCAAACCTCTCATTGATTTTTTTCCGAGGATTTAAAGTTAGGCTATAGGTGTGATTTAACAATAACCAAACTGAACCAAGCTAGCTGAACCTAAACACCGCAGCTCCTAAACCTTACAAAGTCGTGTAAGTTACACCACTTATAACTCAAGAACGGCTTGATCGATTTTAATGATTTATGATTCGTTGGATTCGTCTTTGTCTCGATTAACTAATATATAGGCATATTCTTTTTAGCGAATTTCCCTATAGGGAAGTAGCTATTACCGTAGGTCTCATGGTAAGACTTAGGCCCGTGACCGATTTACTTTTTCATTTTGATGTCCCCAGAGGCCAAAAACACCATTCATTCAAATTTTTATATATGTTTGTATATATATATAGATTTATATATATATATATATATATATGTGTGTGTGTCCGTGAACACGATAACTTGAGTAATTTTTATCCGATTTTGATGAAATTTGGTTTGAAGGTGTAAGGCGGGATAAACTTGAATGAGTTCGCGATCCAGCATGATCGGACCATGGGAACAGGGTTTTATGGGGTAAAAATTGGTTTTTCTCACTTTTGACCCTCAAAACACAAAATTTCCCAATTTTTCTCTAAACCTTCTTAAAGAGCTTAAAAAAACAAACAATTTAGTATATCAAAGTGTTTTTGTGCGGTTACTGGTTACGGAGAAAACTAATAAATGGTAAATTAAAAATTCCCATGTTTTTCTTATAGAGAATATTGTAAAATGTTGTAGTTTGCTTGTTTATGGATTTCTTTCAATCAAACTTGGCAAATATAGGCTATTCATTTTATACTAAGCAATAATTATTTTACTTAAAACACACACTTTATTAGATTCCTTGTAGCAGCAAACCTAGGTACTCGTTAAACCTAATGTTATTTAAATAGATCAATTGAAAATCAATTCAGCCAAATGGAAATTCGCTTGGACAGCAGGTTTGCTGCAGCGGGGGTATTTTATTTAACCTTAGGGCTAAGCCCCACTGGCCTGTAAAGTTGGTAGTTTAAAAAGATTATGAAGCTATTGGAAGAATGTAAATAAACAAATATATTACTGTAATTGAAGTCAGCTGTAAATATTTTAATTGACAGTTCAAAGAGCACAGGATAAGAGGTACAGGTTCTGCTCCCAAGATTTTTTAGTTGATTATGAGAATACCGTAGGCCTACAGTGTTTTATTGGTATATTTTGGTGGAAACAGAAGGATCATTACAATATATAAATGTTTTGTAACTATTTTGGTACCGGTTGTTTTAAAAAATAAATGAAAAAAATTTTATTTATTTTAAAACATTTAGGTGACTATTTACACTATTATTTGTTTTCATTCAATTTATAGGCTAAACTAAATTACAATTATACTACCATTTTTTCCAGATACAGTAGTCGCAGTTAGTCTGGTTAGTTAGACGTACTAACCATCCCCTACGCCAAAGCCATGAAGACAGCGCTGAGGCGCTGAACAACCCCAGAGAGTTTGGGCCCGATGTTTTTGGAAATGAGCAATAAACACTCCCCTCTAAACTCCCCGCCCTAGCGCGGCCGCGCGCCCAGACTAGCTGCGACTACTGAAGCTACTATTCTTCATATTGATGTTTTTTGGTCCAGGATCACTTCTTGAATATTAAAATGGTATAGGATTACCTGTTTCCGTCTGTGATGATAAATTTGTTGTATTGAGCAACCGGTTTCAAGGTTATAACCTCATCATCAGACTCTTGTTATCAATCTTGCGAGATTGTCGAGTCTTGTAACATTTAGAGTCATGACAAAACGTCTGCCCGTGCCGCGTCGTGTGTGGAACAGTTCCCAAATTTATGTTTATCGTTCTCGTCTGTCAATATGTCTTGTGTTTTATTTGTTTAAATGTTAGTGTTTTTGTGTGTTTATATAAGCTACTAGGCTACTTATATTAGCGAATTTCCCTATAGGGAAGTAGCTATTACCGTAGGTGGCGCGGTAAGACCTAGACCCAGGACCGATTTACTTTTTCATTTTGATGTCCCCAGAGGCCAAAAACACCATTCGTTCAAATTTTTATATATGTATAATATATATATAGACTTATATATATATATATACGTCCGTGAACGCGATAACTTGAGTAATTTTTGTCCGATTTTGATGAAATTTGGTTTAATGGTGTAAAGCGGGATAAACTTGAATGAGTTCGCGAACCAGCACAGTCGGACCATGGGAACGGGGCTTTACGGGGGGTTTTATGGGGTAAAAATTGGTTTTTCTCACTTTTGACCCTCAAAACACAAAATTTCCCGATTTCTCTTTAGACCTTTTTAAAGAGCTTAAAAAAACAAATAATTTAGTATATAAAAGTATTTTTGTTCGATTATTAGTAACGGAGAAAATTAAAAAAATTGTAAATTTAAAATTCCCATGTTATTCTTATAAAGAATATTGTAAAATGTTGTAGTTTGCTTGTTTATGGATATATTTTGATCAAACTTGGCAAATATATTTATTTTTTACTAAGCTATCAATATTTTACTCAAAAACACACTTTATTAGTTTCCTTGTAGCAGCAAACCTAGGTACCTACTCGTTAAACCTAATGTTATTAAAATATATTTAACTGAAAATCAATTCAGACAAATGGAAATTCGCTGTGTCGGCAGGTTTGCTGCGGCAGGGGTATTTTATTCTTTTATTTACTTAGACTTATTTACTAAAAATACTTGAAGTCTACTCTTTGTATGCTATTGTAAAATACTTCATTTCACATAACTTTGCACTTCACATTACCTTAGCTTTTTTCACAATTAGAGAAAATGTGTTGTGTTTTTCTACAACACTGCTTTAATTTTACCATGGAGAATATCATAAAACTAAGCTGTAGGCCTACGCAATTCACTTTTGCTTCTAAAATCAATTCAATATTCGTAAGCGTGATATTGGATCATATGTTTAATAGTGTTTATTTTATTTTCTTGTTGAAAGCATATGGTTTATGTTTGTTTATGTTTTTATTGTGATGATTTGAGTTAGTGTTGAGAGATGGCATAAAGATTTAAATGTTCTTTCTTTAACTAGTTTGTTTTATTTTGTGATTATACTACACTGGCGACGAGGATGTCTACAAAGAAGCAGAGGAGTGATAGGATAGTTGAGTAAGAGTCTCACAGTGAGTTGGAGAGGAAAATGGAGAAGTTTGTCTTTGAGAAATACAAATGTGAAGAAACAGCAGAAGAGTTTAATGAACATTTTCAACGTGTTTGTTGGGTGAAAGGGTTGTGGGGTTCAGATGAGCGTAATAAGGAAGCCAGAAAAGACTTACTAACTGGCTTATATGTGGGAAGTGAACCACTCCAGAAGATGCAAAATTATTTCATCCCGAAGAACCTTGATTCTTGTTCTTATGAAGAAATTAAGACTGCATTCTTTACTATGGTCCAAACCAAACTATTTTTGCTGCCCGTTTTAAGTTTGAAAGAGCTGTTAGGAATGAAAGTGAGTCCTTCACAGAATATTTCACCCGGTTGAAGAAATTAAGCAAACACTGTCGGTATGGTCAAGGCTTAGATGAACGGATCTGGGATCGTTTCATCGCAGGGGTATTCAATGAACAATTTGAAGTTGAAGTAAGGCATCGTTTGCCGGATGGTGTAGGAGACTGGTGGCAGAGTAGTCACGGAAGAGAGAGTGTTCCAGCTGGCCAGGTCGATGGAGCGTGCCAGAAACGAGGTGAGTACCTGTTCTACATCGAGTGTATGTTTTGTTAAGAAGCGACAGTCAACTGGTCAAGTGAATAGATGTGAGAACTGTGGCAGATATAGTTGTGTCAAGGAGAAATGTCCAGCAAAAGGCCAGGAGTGTCTAAAATGCCATAAGTTGGGACATTTTGCTAGGGTGTGCAAAAGAAAGTTCCTTTGTCAGTAAAATTGACACTAAGTTGGCCGATGGAGAGCACAGTTCAGATGAGGTGGAATCTGATCTTCATGCTCCTAACAAGGTTTTAAACAGAACTCCACGCGCCTCAATAAGAGTGAATGTTAATGGACTGCCCTGCCTTATGCAATTTGATTCGGTTGCTAGAATTTCTACAATTGGGCAGACATTATGGAAGAAACTCGGTCAGCCCCTGGTTAAACCTCTCTCTGGGTTGACAGGCTATCTTCAAACACCTTTAGCATGTTTGAGCAGATGCTATGTGCCAGTGTGTTTGAATGGGGAGACAAGGAAGTTACCAGCGGCAGTAATGGAAAAAGATGATATTCCATTGTTTGGACTTCTGTGGATGGTATCATTTGGAATGAAACTTCCACCTGAAGTTACTGTTAAATCAAACAATGTAACAAATGAGGATGTAAAACTACTAAATAATAGCTACTCACATGGGTTATTTCCGCTACAAACGCCTTGCATTTGGCTTAACTGATGCTCCAGCAAAATTTCAGCGTTTCATGGAAAATCTGGGACTTAGTGATATCCCTTTGGTTGGGGTGAACATAGATGATATTATTATTATAGTCAGTGGAAGAACGAAAGAAGAGCACCTGAGCAATGTCAGGACAGTGTTGAAACGTCTTGAAGCTGCAGGGATAAAGGCAGAGAAGGAAGAACGTCAATTAGGTCGAAACAGAGTCTACTATTTGGGGCATAAGATTGATCAAGATGGAATACATCCCAAGGAAGCTAAAGTAAAGTCATTAAAGGAAGCGAAGACACCAACAAACAAGAAAGAGTTGTCTAATGATCTTTCGTACTTGTCTCCATTTTATCACAGACGGGAAGGAACTCTCTTCTGTGAAAGGAATTCTGACGTGGGGAAATAGGATAGTAGCTCCACCGATCCTTCCCAGATCATTCCAGAGAGATTCAGATTCCTTCGGGAGTTGTCCTTGAACACTTTCAAATCAAAATTGAAAACATATTTAGTACAAAAATGCCCATATACAGTGGAGGATTTTTTTACATGTCAAAATATTTCTATTTAATTGTGCCTGTATTTATATATTTTATATATTTTTTAATACTAGAACTTATTATATTGATTTATTACATCTAAGTATTCATTTGCTGTATTAATTTATGTATTTTATGACGATTGTTAAAACATTGTGAAATGTCTACAACAATAAATTGATTTGATTTGATTTGATTCAAAAGAAAAGACTACGTGTTTTACATCAAGGACATCCCGGAATTGAAGCAGCTATGAGGAGTCTGTCAAGGTGCTATGTGTGGTGGAGCAAGATTGACGAAGATAGCCTAGAGAGAATTATGTGAAGACTTGCAATGGGTGTCAAATGAACCGTCCAAGAGAACCAGAGGTACCTCTGTACTCGTGGAATGTTCCAGATGGTCCATGGGAACGTGTACACTTGAATTATGCTGGACCGTTTGATGGGTGGTATTGGTTAAGCGTAGATGCGTTTTCTAAATGGCCAGAGATATCAATGGTTAGATCGATTACGGCTGCTAGTACAGTGAACAAGTTACAGGAATGGTTTTCTCGCTATGGAGTTCCTAGGATGATTGTCACGGACAATGGGACACAGTTTACTGCAGAGGTCTTTGGGAAGTTTTGCAAGGATAACACAATCAAACATGTCTGCAGTACACCTTATCATCCGAAGACGAATGGCCAAGTTGAACGGTTCATCAAAACCTTGAAATCGAGATATTTGTCCAGTAAGGGTGACAGGCAAGATCAAACCCAAAAGTTGGCGAAGCTATTGTTTGCATACAGAGACATGCCACAAAAGTCCACGAGCAAACCTCCTTCAGAACTGTTTTTCGGCAAAAGACTTCGATCTCCATTGGACAATTTAAAGCCCACGGTTAAAGATGTGATAACAGAATCAGTTTTTAAACAAAAGTAGTATCACGATGGAAAAAGTAGACATAGGGAATTTCTAGAGGGGGAAGAAGTCTGGGTGCAGAGAGAGAAATAGGTGCCGGCTGGACTCCAGGAGTGATTATACATCATGAACTAGTGAGCTAATCCTACCAAGTACGTGTAGGTGGACTTCTGAAGCGAAAATACGCAGACCAACTACGGAAGAGAAGTGGAGCTTTATCGAAGGGGGAGAAGTGTGATATTGGATCATATGTTAATAGTCTTTATTTTATTGTCTTGTTGAAAGCATATGGTTTATGTTTGTTTATGTTTTTATTGTGATGATTTGAGTTAGTGTTTGAGATGGCATAAAGATTTAAATGTTCTTTCTTTAACTAGTTTGTTTTGTTTTGTGATGAATACAATGAATTTATTTGGCCAATCAACAACAACATTGTTACAGGCTATGTCTATGTGATAATAGGCTACTATAGTAAGTAAGTATATTCCTTTACTTAATTGTCAGTGTGTAAATTAATGCAAATACAATGAACTAAGGAACTAGTAAAATAAGGGGGCCTGTTTCATAAAACCCCTGTAATACAGTGCCTTTATTACAGGACTTTTAAATTTAAATTTACAATCCTGTAAAATTATGTTTCATAAAAAATAATTTTAACTTAGTCTTGTAAAATAACCTGTAATATTACCTGTTTTATATTATACCCCTATTTTAACTCACAGCTGTGTGGATGTTAAGAGGAATTGTTATGTTACTGCCATTGATTGTGTGTGAGTTGTTCTAAAATTCAATGATGGCTAAATGCACAGAAAAATACCCCTGGCGCAGCCAGCCAGTAGATTATATAGGAGTTTCAATTAGCGTGATTGGACTTTTACTAGTGAAATATTTCCATTAACAAATCATATTTATTCCCTATTCAAGTAACATTAGAGTTACCCTAAGTTAGACTTCAATGAGGAATTAGGTTTGCAGTTACATGATAGGGAAAAGTGTCTTTACCCAAAAATCAATACTTAGGCCTATTAACATTCAATATTTGTATTAGGCTAATGATTTCAATATTTTCCTATCAAACTAATATTCCTTTCAATAGTAGGCTAAACAAAAATATTATTAGGTTAAACTAAACTAACTAACCGAATAAAATGGGCCTAATCGATATATCGAATAATCTAATATCGATATTTTTTCATTCGTAGGATGTAAACTAAAGTTTGTGCAGACTAGGCTAAATTATGGACATTATCAAAAATTGAAATGTTTGCTTCCTAACCCGTCCAAACATTTGCCGAAACAACCTTGGTATGTTTGGCTAAAATATATTCAATCATTATCGAATTATAGTGTTAAAAGGTTGGCGAATGAAAATATCGATCGATATATCAATTAACTTATTCGATATATCGTTTGGTTAGTTAGGTAAGGTTAAGCTACGGTACTGTAATCTAACTAACCAAACGATATATCGAATTAAACAATCGAATAATCAATATTACTCATTCGGTTGTTTGTGCCAACAGATATGGAAGTGTACCCAAAAGGTTTGCATTGAAGTCGATCCCAAAGAGCTTCGCGAATTTTCAGGGAGTGAAAAGCTGTTTCTCATAAAAAGAGATGCAAACCTTAGAGGAAAAAATAATTTATTTTGAGAAGCTATTCCACGAAGTACCCAGCCTTAAAGAGAATTAAGTTTAGCTGGTGGTTATTGTAAGCCAGGGTTGCCACCTGTCCCGATTTTGGTTCCTTATGCCCGTATTCAACCCGATACAGTCCTATGTTAATGCGGGGGGAGGGGGGTCCCCGATTTTTCCCTAACCTAAGGTTGCAACCATGGCCTAAGCCTAGTTTCAAAGTAAATAACACCTTGAAACCAAGACCTAAGCTAGGCTATATTATTTTTTTACCTTGCTTCCATGGGAAAATCTCCACTGAACGTCATCCATTTGTATGACAAACTCTTTAGGCCTAAGTTATTTTAACCTCAATAGAGTAACCGACCAGGAATAGGAAATAATAATGTTAGGTTAAGTTACATTGGTGAACAACTACTAACCATGACTCCAAGTAAAACAAGAATTACTATGTTAAGTAGGAGGTCCATAGCAGGTAGTAAAATGTATTGTAACACTTCACAGCTCTCTGGTATAAAATAGTTATGCTACCAACGAATTTCACAAAAGATATTCACAAATATTTGCCTCTACACAGTGAAACTTCGTAAAAGATTTTATTATTGATTGATATGTTCCGCCATGTCGTCTGCAACAGTTTAGACAATCACTTCACACTTCAGCCACAGGACAAGAGGAAGAGGACAGACGGTATTTACTCAGGGGAGGTATATGAGCTTACGATGACAGCTGTGGGCTTCTCATTAGCTGAGGGAACACTATTGTTATTTTCCCATAAAAACCCCATAAAACAACGAAAAATATGATTTTATAAAAAAACCCGGTTTTGATTTAACATAGTATGTTATGGTCCTTACAATTGTGATAGTTTTTATTTGTTTTTTTTTAATTTTGATTTTTAAATGGGATTTCCCCATAAAACCCCATAAAATAACGGAAAAATAGGATTTACCAAAAAATGGCCCAAACGATTTTGATAAAAATTTAGTATGTTATAGTCCATTATATTCTAAACAAAATGGTACAATTCCCATTCCTGTAAAAACTACGGTTCAAAAGTTATTGTAAATTATGTTATTTTCTCCATAAAATAACGGAAAATCGGATTTCCCCCAAAAATGGCCCGAACAATTTTGATAAAAATTTAGTATGTTATAGTCCTTAAATTCTGAAAAAAATTGTACAATCCCATTTCCGTATATTTACTCTCACCGCTTACACATGATAAAGGTTGTTATAAACTTATGGGAGAAAGTATGTGTCAGAATGCTGATACCGTTTATATTATTAAGTCATTATACAATTTTAATTGAGCAATTTCTAGTTTTATTTAAGGACTATAACATTAATGAACATAATTATTTGTTCTATTAATAAACTTTTGTTATATTATTTCATTACCAGCAAGTTTGGTTAGTTTGGTTAGGTTATGATAGTAGTTTTATAATTTAAAAAATATAAAATTGAATTTGATGCATTTATAATTTCATTTTATGAACAGAACTATTTTTGCTATTAGTAAACCTTCATTGCCAAAATGCTCTCTACTACAGCGCTGTTCACGGAGGAATTTTGAACTAATGCCTCAATCGTACCTCCCCTAAGTCAGACCCGAGGACAGACAGTTTTTTAATTTGTTCTCATATTGACAAAATGCATTTTAGCTAACTGGGTAAATTATACAAATTTTAATTTTTTTTTATTAATGACACAGTATGTCCGATACCATTTTATCCGATACGCATTATTCATGCCAATACCAGGATAGGTCCAATGGCGTCTACAATAATATTAAAATCAGCATTCAACACAACAGCTTCAAAACATAAATACTTCTATACTAATGTCAACATCTCGTAGGGTCAACAAAGAAAATGCATTTTAAGATGACACCGGTATACCGGTATACTATTTGTATTGGGGATTTGTATAATCAATGTATACAGGGTGTTTCCGAATTGTCTGGACATATTTTGTAGACTTGTTCCCTGGGCTAAGACAAACATAAAACACCATATAAGTATGTGTCTAAAGTGCCTAGATATGTGTCTAAAGTGTCTGTCGGTCTGTTTGGGAATTTTTATAAATTATTTTATATCTTGGGCATTTTTCAAGATAGAGATTTAAAATTTGGTATGAATGTGTAGTTCTGAAAGTAAAAAGGAACTGTGAAAATTTCGTTCCAATATCTCAAGCCGTTTTAATATGGCGGCCAATTAAAATCTTTAATGCCAAATTTCACAAATTAATGGCCACTCCAATCATCATCAGACCTAATAGGCAAATAATCAGGGGTATTGGTATCAAGTAATCACTTGAACCACGCTGAACCAGGGTCTCCCTCTAGACTGAGACTGGGTCGCTGTCAAGGCGCCACCACGTCGGCGACTGACTAACGACTAACTACTAGAAGGCTAGAAGGTCAATCAAATTGTTTTAGTTAGTAGAGTTTTTTTAGCGAATTTCCCTATAGGGAAGTAGCTATTACCATAGATAAAACATACTCCTCAAGGAGCATGTATCCTAACTCCTTGAGGAGTATGTTTTATCCATGCTATTACCGTAGGTCTCATGGTAAGACCTAGGCCCGGGACCGATTTACTTTTTCATTTTGATGTCCCCAGAGGCCAAAACACCATTCGTTAAAATTTTTAAAATCTGTAAACATGATAACTTGAGTAATTTTTGTCTGATTTTGATGAAATTTGGTATTAAGGGGTAAAGCGGGATAAACTTAAATGAATTCGCGAACCTGCATGATCGGAATGGGAACGTGGTTTTACGGGGGGTTTTAAGGGGGGAAAATAGTTTTTTTCTTTTTTGACCCTTAAAACATAAAATTTATCAATTTTTCTCCAGACCTTTTTAAAGAGCTTAAAAAAAACAAATAATTTAGTATACCAAAGTGTCTTAGGACAGCGATTGGTTACGGAGAAAATTTAAAAAAATTGTAAATTTAAAATTCCCATGTTATTCTTATATGGAGTTAATATTGTAAAAAATGATGTAGTTGGCTTGTTTATGGATATATTTTGACGAAACTTGGCAGATTTATTTATTTCATACTATGCTATTGATATTTTAATAAAAACACACTTTATTATAGTTTCCCTGTAGCAGCTAACCTAGGTACTAGTTAAACATAAATGTCAATTTGATAGATATTAATTGAAAATCAATCCAGTCAAATATAAATTCGCTTAGTCGGCAGGTTTGTTGCAGCGGGGGTATATTATTTATATTTGATCTTTTGTACATTTCATTGTAAACTTAACTATACCAATAATGCATGGTGGAAGGAAAAAGTACAATTTTTGTAATTTTGTAATTCTGGAATAAAAAACTTATAACATAGATAAAACATACTAAACATACTCGAGTATGTTTTAAGTATGTTTTATCTATGGTTTTATCTATGCTTATGACTACTGAGCGAGTACTGACCGATCGTGACTACTGAGACTGAGACTGAGACTGACTGAGTGACAAAGTGAAGTGACTAGAGAAAAGAAAAACGCTGAACGCAGCGTTCGGTTCTGCTTAATCTGCATTTTTGCTTAGCTTAGCTTAATCTTTATGTCAACAAACTAGAAAAAATTGAAAATTAATTACAATTTATTGTGATGTGCATGCAGAATTAAATTTCTGTGACTACTTGTGCCAGTTTAGTGTCTTTTGGAAACCGGGCATTTATTAATTGATTGTTTTGTACTGGTTCTATTATTGAAAATGACGTAAACTTAAGGGTTAGGTTTGTGTTAGGTTACCTTCAATTTACTTTGGCCAATGCCTACACATTGTTGAGTGTTTTTATAATAAGCAGTGCGCGTTTATTACCAATTTAGCATATCTCCGAGGTAACTAAACCCGTTGCAATGCATAATTTTGTTTGCATATTCGTTGTTGCAACCATAGTACACTTAGCCACATCCAGGGCTACGGATTTTCAGCCTATATTAACTCAAATCTCCGCTGGCATCAACGATTGCAATAAAAGTGAGCTATTAGGGGGTTTTGACCTTAAAAGTGTTCCACAGTTTAATGCCCTATGTAATATACCTGTACCAGACATAGAACAATCAGAATTCTTAATAGAAAACAATGTTGTTCCGATTTTGTGCATGGGACTAATGGATGTGTCTTTAAGGTTGTGTAAATCAGCAAAGAATGACGTTTCTCCTTTTGAAGATATTTTCCCACCCACTCCCATGAAATTTAGGAAAATATTTGATGGGCTAAGCAAATCAAATGACTTTTCATCCTTGGACGAATTTTGCTCCACCACGGTGAAAAAGTTTGCAATCCAAGAAGCTGTGAGTAATGAAACTGAACTTTGGTGGCAAGTGCTCAATAGGCGATTCGGTGATCCAACAACATGTTCTAATATTTGTCACTCAAATGAAAAAAATAAAGTCCATCCACTTTGTTCATACATCTTGTGGTCTAATGGAGTCTATGTAAATTATATGAAAAATCAAGAGCTTACAACTGTGGGTAAGTAATTTTGTTTTCATTTATTGACTTGGGCCTAAAACACGTTTACAATGGAGTTAGGAACAAAATGTTGTTGGTAACGCTTGCTTCTAAAAATTTGTACCACCAAATGACCTGTTAAGTAGATTTTTTAAAAGGGATGATAACTTATCGACCTCCTAGTTTAAAAAGAGTTTCAAAAACTTTATGAGAATGTCTTAAGTTTAGTGCTGATTTTGAAATACAGTAACTTAGTAAACTTAGGTCAGGCCCAGTGCACTGAGTCAAAGCCCTCCACGATTACTAGAAAAATACCGGTATGGATCATAAACATAAACAAATGACATTTTTGGCCCGAAAATAAACATAATTTAACATTGCTTTTAGTTGGAACTGCCAAATCATATGTTCAATGCTATTAGTAGAGCCTATAGGATTCGGGCCAACAATGTAATTTTGTTTAAATGTTTATGATCCATACCGGTATTTTTCTAGTAATCGTGGTCAAAGCTAATGACAGCATGGGAGCGGAAGGACTGACGCTGAGGACACCGCATGTAGTCACGTGGTGGTTGGTAGGCCTCTGGAGGGGGGGGGGGGGGTTAATGGGGAAGTGTTGTTTAAACAGCATAGAAGTGTAGAGAAACATTGTGTTCCAATAAATCTTTCGTCATGTTTGGAACACCTTGATTTTAAAGACTTCTTGTGGAAACATATTTCTGTTGTAAGCACTAAAAAGCTGTTTCATCAAAATGTTTCCTTTTAAAAAGTAGTGTTCAAAGTGTGTATACGTGTCCAAAGAACATTTGTTGTAAACACGTGTTCCTAAATCCGACTGGCCTATAAACACGGCTTAAGTTATAACTCACTGTTTTTATGACTACCAAATAAACCACAGTACCTAGCCTCCCTCAAGTTCAGACTTTTAGACTTAGGTCGACCAAATTCATAGGCTGTAAGAAAACATTTTGGCAGCAGACATTGAAGACCTCGTAATTCAAAAATTTAATTGTATGAGAAGAACGTCAAGGGTAAAAAAAATCAAGCTAGAATTTGATGAATCGAAGAGTGCGTTTGTCCTCTACATGCGAAACTTATACAACTCGCTCGGTAGCCAAGCATCTATCTAGGTACTGCTACCACTCTTGGATCTTCCAGTAGCTTAGGCCTTGCGTAATTGATGCTCTGTATCATAGACTAACCATTGAAGCTCGTTTTTCATGTCTAGTTCATGTCAGGTGACACTGATCGCTAGTGTCGACAAAATTTGGTTTACCGTAATTTATATTATTTTAGAGTTAATTTCATGATTTGTGCTTTACTGTTTAGTTATACCTACCGGTAACTAGGGGACGAGTTATTGTTTATGAATAGATCGTTTTATTTGGCTAAACGAGGTATCTTCTCTCCTCCACGCATATATATAGGTTTTTCCTATATAGGCTATTCCTCTTAGCTCTCTGTTCTTTCCTATCTCAACCTCCGTTTTCATAAATGGCCCGTATATTTTCTCTGCACTCTATTACTCAAACCCAGCAATAAGGTTTTTCGGTTCTTTGGTCACTGCCAAAGTTTCTGAACCATACACTACTGGGATAATATGGCATGATATGAATCCAATTTGGTATCTACTGACACCCTGCAGCTTATTGGACAGTTTTCTAGAGACTTACTACACCAGATGACATTATTTGAATAACCAACAAAAAATTTGGTATTAAATAAATTGCTAATACCTATCCTTTGCACTAATTTCAATCTACATTAATTAATTGCAAAATAAATTAGTAAACAAATAAAAGTTAAAAAAGAACAGATAGGCCTAGTTTGTTTTGAAACATATTTACATAGTTAAAATAACATTTAATTTGAAAAAAAAGAACTTGTCATCTGTGGAAGGAATTTGAAAAAGTAAACACGCTAAGTTAGTAAGCTAGTGACGTAATTTTTCTATGTTTATTATCTATAATACTATCCGTTCTAATATCTGTGATAATACCCACTCTCATTGAATCTATATGTACATCCTAATTTCCCATATTCATTTATTCAAACTAAGATATTTAGTTGAAAAATAAAAGTGATATTTTGCCTACATCAGCGCACCCAACTGTAACCACACACGAACACACGAAAAACAATGTTTATTTAGATTTAACAAAAGGGTAGTAAGAGTAAGTCTACTTGCAGTAACCTAGGTTAATGATAAAAAATTATGTTTAGGCCTAATCTATGTCCTATCTTTTTATATCTGAATAAAGCCCGTAAAATAATTTGTATAGGCTTTTCTTTGAAGACTCGTGGGCAGAGCCTCGATTTGTATACGGCAATGGTCTTACTTATCTCTATTGTCTACTTATCTCTACTAATCTTACTTATTTCCTGTAATCAATGACTAAATAAAATAACCTCATAGTTCTATACCGGTAGATATTTTTATATCCGGACATCCAGCTGTTAGTTCAATCAAATTATATTGCTCTAAAACAAACCCAAGATTTTAAAGACTGTTCTGAAAAATAAATTAGATTATCAAGTAATTTACAATGAATATTTTAAATAATCTGTTGTTCCCTTACCAAATAAATTAATCCTATCAATTATTAAAACATTACGGTATACGTATAAGTCAACCCTATGTGTATGTCATTTCATTTCTATCCAATTTTCAAATGCTGAATTTGTGTCACAAACTCTGAATGTTTGTACAGCTGTTACGTTAAGCAAATGGTTTTACACCATGCATTTTATGCTAGAATGTTAGCGTCGGCTGCTAGACTTAAAAAAAATTATAACCTAAATTGTAAAAAACTGAAACCCTAAACTAAAATTATAGCCTCGACATTCCCTAGTTCTCAAAATTATCTTTCTTTCAACACAAAAATCATGAAAATCCAAGTGGTTGATTCAGAATCGTGAAATAAAAAAACCCTGTCATGTTTTAAAATCTAATATATAAAATTCTCGTGTCACAGTGTTTGTCTGCAAACTCCTCCGGAACGACTTCACCGATCGTAATGAAATTTGGTGTGTAAATTCTGTAGGTATGCGAATCGGACGTAAACTATTTCCCGTTTCAAAATTCTTAAAAGGGCTCCGCCCCAGTGGCTCTGGAGTTTCCCATGTTAACCTTATGAGAAATGGAATTAATGAATCTTAACAGCTGTTTCAATTAAACAAGTTGGTTCTGTTCTATGATGTTCAATAGCATAAGTTACAAGGATTACCAACAGGGTGCAGCACTATTATTTCTTTTACATTTATGACAACAGCTAATTTGCAACCGAAAGGTGAGTGAGCGTAGCGAACGAACTTCAACCTGGAGGCGAGTGAGCGTAGCGAACGAGCTAACCTGAAGGCAAGTGAGCGCAGCGAACGAGCTCCAACCTAAAGGTGAGTGAGCGTAGCGAACGAGCTCCAACCCAAAGGTGAGTGAGCGTAGCGAACGAGCTCCAACCTAAAGGTGAGTGAGCGTAGCGAACGAGCTCCAACCCAAAGGTGAGTGAGCGTAGCGAACGAAATTCAACCAGGACGTGATTGAGCGATGCGAACGAGATCATCTTGAAAATTAAACGTAACGGTACTTTCTTTCCATCGGTCTGTCTTAGGGGAAACCTATAACTTAGGCGATACGAAGTTCGCCGGGTCAGCTAGTATCTATATATTAATTTGAAACTGTTTTTCTTTGTCATAGCTAAATTGAGAGAACGGCTGGGCGTAGAAACTCGGTAGAGGTGTCTAAAGAAAGGTCTTGGTCTGTAGATGAGCCATCAAAAGAGAAACGTGGTAAATTCCTTTGGGGCTCTGCCCCAGTGGCTTTTGAATTCCCACCCCATGTTATTCTTATGGAGGAAAAACTGGGTTTTGTCCCAGCTAATTTGAGAGAACAGCTGGGTGTAGAAACTTGGTAGGGGTCTCTAAAGAAAGGTCTTGGTCTATAGATGAGCCATCAAAAGAGGAACGAGGTAAATTCCCTTGGGGCTCTGCCCCAGAAGCCTTTAAAGTTGCCTCTTCAAGTTTGTTTACCATATGCATGATTCTACACTACTTTTTAATGAAACAGCTGTTAATATTTAAATTGTGATGTATTGAATTTTTCAAAATGAAGTACCCCCGATTTTAAAATCGATTTTATTCTGCATCGTGTCATGTTTTGCAATATAATGTTCTATTACTAAATCAGTTGAAAATCCAAATATCACAGTAACTCTTAAAACTATTTCTTATGGAGTTAACTTATATCTATTGTATGGCTTGCTTTCTGCCTTTTTTTTACCACTTCTTGGAGATTGTACGTAGGTGATATTCTTTGGCGTATTGCATCTGTAGACGAAACTTGGGTTGGTGAAATTATTACAATGGAAAAAAGCGAGAAATCCTGCACAATTTGATATAGGCTAAAAATAAAACTGAATTAACAATATGCTACATTTCTTGAGCAATCATTGAAACAACCGATTTGCAAACAATGGAAACATAGAAAAAGTCATAGAACACAACCAAGTAGAAGAAAAGAAATATTTTTTTTTTCATTTATATTCGTTATTATAGACAACCTAATAATGCGGCTATGAGAGGGAAAAATTTGAAGAAACACTAAAAAACAAGATCAGCTTTTTGAGAAAAGATAAGATATTTACAAAAGATTTTGATTATATCTAACTGTTGCGTAGATCATGAGTATTTCCATAATCTTCGTGAGTCGCCTGTAATGCTTCGCAATTGCTCGAATTCGAGCAACAGGTACACTAGTCAGGGTGTATACCAACCGGGAAAACCGGGAGAACCGGGAAATAACCTTGAATTTGAAGGGACCTGGAAAAAACCGGGAAAAAGCCGGGATTTTTGGACCGAAACCGGGATTTTTATTTTAGCCCCGGTAGAAGATTGTAGTCGTAAAATGCGTCTTGCCGCGATTGCGGGCGACGACGATGACGTTTTCGTGTCCGCGGGAGACGACGATGACGTTTCCGTGACCGCGGGAGACGACGATGACGTTTCCGTGACCGCGGGAGACGACGATGACGTTTCCGTGACCGCGGGAGACGACGATGACGTTTCCGTGACCGCGGGAGACGACGATGACGTTTCCGTGACCGCGGACGACGACGACGACGTTTCCGTGACCGCGGACGACGACGACGACGTTTCCGTGACCGCGGACGACGACGATGACGTTTCCGTGACCGCGGGAGACGACGATGATTATGTCTACGCGGCCGCAGATGTTTATGATTTTGCCGAGATCGTGGACGACGGCGATGACGTTTTCATATCTGCGAGAGGCAATGATGATGTCTACACGGCCGCGGGAAATATTCATGATTTTGCCGAGATCGCGGACGACGACGATGACGTTTCCGTGACCGCGGACGACGACGATGACGTTTCCGTGACCGCGGGAGACGACGATGACGTTTCCGTGACCGCGGACGACGACGACGACGTTTCCGTGACCGCGGACGACGACGATGACGTTTCCGTGACCGCGGGAGACGACGATGATGTAGACACGGCCGCGGGAAATATTCATGATTTTACCGAGATCGCGGACGATGACGTTTCCGTGACTGCGGGAGGCTATGATGATGTCCACACGGCCGCGGAAGATATTCGTGATTTGCCGTGACCGCGAAAGACGACGATGATTTTGTCTACACGGCTGCAGATGTTCATGATTTAGCCACGATCGCGGACAACGACGATGACGTTTACGTGACCGCAGGATCAACGATGATGTTTACACTGCCGCGGGAAACATTCATGATTTTGCCGAGATCGCGCACGACAACGATGACGTTCTCGTGACCGCGGGAGTCAATGATGGTGTCTACACGGCCTCGGAACATTTTCGTTATTTTGCCGTGATCGCGGTCGATGACGATGACGTTTACGTGACCGTGGGAGTCAATGATGATGTCCACACGGCCGCGGAAGATTTTCGTGATTTTGCCGCGATCGTGGATGACGATGATTACGTTTCCGTGATCGCGAGAGACAGCGATCATGTATACATACCGCGGAAGATGTCCAGGATTTTTCTATGGTAACGTAAGACTGTGATAATGTTTACGTCACCGTGGGAAGCGACCACACGACCGAAGGAAATATTCAGGATTTAGCCGCCGTTGATAATGTGTTCATAAAAAGTGAAGATAATATTCATGATTTTGCTGCATGATTTTTCATGATCGAGAGAGACGATGTTTCCGTGGACTTAAGTAATGATGATAATGAAAATTATTATTATAATAAGGATTATTACTTTTTCAACACTAGCTCACTGGACTTTGAAACAAATTTAATGCAAGTTTATATTGTATACTTAGGCTGCAAGTCTTAAATTGATTATAAAGGGTGTCCCAATAAGAACGCCGGATATGAAATGTTAATGAACCATATATTTTCACGCTAAATTTACAATATGAAACATGAATCTTAAAGCATAGTATCTCCGATTAGTAGAATATTATGTCTCGTAAGTGTCCACCTGCTGCCTGCTGACAAGCCCGACATCTCTTGACAAAGTTTTCCATCACTTTTTCACACACTTCCTGTTGAATGACAAGATCAATTTCCTCCTTCAGGTCTTGGATTGTTTGATGATTATTGGCGAAAACAAGTGACTTTAAATATCCCCAAAGAAAGTAGTCACACGGTGTTAAATCGCGCGATCTTGCTTAGATGGCTATGCAGCGATGTGTGCTTCATCGCTGAACAGCAAAGTTTCTTATTGATTGCCAACCACCCAGTTTACAAAATCAAGCCGTTTTACGGGATCTCTTGGCTTGATCTCTTGTGCGAGTTGAATTTTGTAAGGGAACATGTGAAGGTCTTTTACCAAAATTCTTTGTACTGTGCTCCGAGTTAGGCCTAACTGCTGACTACGCCGACGAATCGATGTTCTTGCGTTGTCTTCTACACTATCATGTACAACCTCAATATTTTCAAGGGAGCGAACTGCCCGACTGCGCAATGGTCTTTTAATGTCCAAAAACTGAGCAAATTTTTTCGAACTTAGAAGTTAATCTTCGGACAGATGACTCATTTGGTGCATTGTCCCGGCCGAAAATAACGCGCATCTTCCGCACCGTTTCAGCAAACCGTTTCCCGTATTTGTAGTGCACTTTAACTATGATCAAGCGTTGATCCGTCGTGTAGCGATTCATGACAAAAAATGGGACCTAATACTGATAACATAGCTGATAATTTGGGAATTCCTATCGAAATACATATAAGGATAAGACGCTCTTGAAATCCGGCGTTCTTACTGGGACACCCTTTAGTTTAAGTGGAACCAAAAAAATACGTGGGAGCCTGGAAAAACTTCGAAAAACCAGGAAAAAACCTGGAAAAAACCTGGAATTTCACTCTAATAAAATAGTATACACCCTGACTAGTATATGATGATTGTTGACAATTATTTATTGCTAATACAGTATGCATCACATGTAACTTAGCCTATTACATATCTTGTAAGAAACTGTAGGTAGGCCTATTGGCTTTTTCCGCTGCAAAAAAAAAAACCAATAAATTCGGCAGCTTAAATAATAAATCATAAAAGACTGGGCTACCTAATCCTTCTCGTCACTCGTTAACAAGCAACAACTGTGAGTGCACTTGACATGTAGCCGAGATGAAACTATTTTAAAAGCAGCTATTGTGGTAGTGAGGCGATTACATTGTGTTAGTTTACAAACTGTATGTAATAAACTTAAAGTGGCAGCTATGTAACCTATAACAAAAGGCCTTAACTTATTATAGCCTTTGTCTGATGTTCCTTTATCTTTTGCGTTAGGTACCCATTAAGGTAAGAATTGACGTCAAAAGATGAAAGCTGGCTTCTAGCTTTTTAATGTGTCTCTAAAAGATATGGAAACTGTTTGATACAGAGTCGTCCACATGTGATTTTTATTTTGATGTGGTATTGTATTTCATACTACCGTACCTAGCTTATAGGCCTACTAGTTTTTTTACAATTTTAATAAAAAAATACCCACCATAATTTTTTTATGTAAATGATTACGTTTAATTTAAAGTACCAGTAGGCCTAGTGAAGTGACACCATTATGCTTACAGTCAACTTACTGCTGATGGGATTACAATAAAGTTCTAGGCTTCCATAAATTATTAATTTGTAATTTACTTAGCCAGCTGGTATATGCTGAAAGAGAGATAGCCTATATGTATCTAGCCAATTTCTTTATTTTAGGAGATGTAAAAAAATCCACCACCATTGAAAAAGTCGAAGAGCCAATAAACCACAAAGTAAAACCTGACCAAGCCATTAGCGTCAAAAGCGATCTGTCAACAAAACCTTCAGAACCAGTTGTCGGCTCTGACGTGGCTCTTTCAACTGATGAAAAAGCCCAGATCAAGGAGTCAGTAGTGGGCACAGACAATAACAATGTTGGAGTAGGAACTGTAGAACAGTTGGTGAATAAAGGAGACGAAGCACCTACCAAAACGGCGGAAAACGAAGCAAACGGTTCAGGAATTATGGACAAAGAGAATAAAGACAAACTAAAAATTGAACCTACCAAGGATACTGCAACAAATTCTAACCCTGTAGTAGGGTTGAATGCTACTGAAGGTTCCAGCATTAAAGTGAAGACAGTTTCATCAGCTGGTCAAGCTAAAGATGTTCCCAAAGTAGATGCTGGTGCCGATGCCATGCCACCTAGTGTTTCTGGCCCTCAAGAAGTTGTTCCTCCTGGCAAGGCAGAAGGGATGGTTGAGGGAGATTTCAGCCTTGAAGTAACACCGGAGGGAGTTGGACTTGATCAACCAATAGCAGCTGACAAAGACTTCCAGCCTCCATATTCAGGTGGGTACACCATATTTTTAAGTTTTTTGTTGCTAGGGGCATTTGTATTGAAGGAATTAAGAACACTTTGAAAAGAAATCAGTTCAAACTGTTCTTCATTGACCTAATAGCCTAACCATTAAATCCTCTGGCACTTAAGTCTTAGGTGCTAATCCCTGGGCCTAAAAAACAAATTAAGTACCTAAAGGTTAATTTTTTAACTTTGAAGCTATTTAAAATTGTAACTCATTTATTGAAGACAGGCGGATTGCAAAATTTGGGGAAAATATGCCTATATTTTGGATTTTCTTGGGACTGGATTTGTTTGGACAGTCAGGGATTTTCCGGTTGATGTCACTGCAGTTTCAGGAGGATTTCGTGATTTTGCTGCATGTTGGCTTTAATAAAACTGTGCAATTAGGTCTTCTAATTGGTTTTGTTTGTCATTTTTTCCATTTGTTAGGACTTTGACTCAAGATTTTAAAATTTAACTCTCAAACACAGGGGAAGTAAAATCCCATTGCGTTCCCATCTTAAATATCAAGAGGGAGATAAATTCTGACATGTCCCAAACCATAATTACAATCCTGTCTCAAAAATTGATTTATTCATAGTAGAAAAGCAGCATGGATCGTCCAGGTTTGCAAAACTTGTCAAACTATTCTGATTGTTTAAATATTTTTTTGTTTTGTTTAAGGACAACTTAGTCTAAGAGATAAATGTTTATTGAAGCTATTTAGGCCTACTAACTCTAAGGGAATATCTGGCAGGCATTTATCTAAGCTAAGCTCAATGAATTTAAGCAAAATAATTACTGGGAGGCTACCCTTAAAAGTTAAAAACCTTTTTTTAAACTGTTTTTTAAAAGTTCCCAGTTTTAAGCCACTAATGTTTAAAAAGTTTAATGAATACAGGTTGGTCAAATCGAGAATAAACCAAACTCAAGAACTTAGTCCAGTATCAGGTCTATTTCCCGTCTTTTAAATACAATTAAGGAGTTCATAAAATATTAGATTAACCTGTTGTTATCAAATGACTTATTTTGTATAAAATGATTTTCTCGCTGTAGACGAGGAGGGAGAAGATGGTGATGGAGATGATGTGGACATTGTCGAGGCCAACGCACAAGCGACAACCAACAACAATAGCAGCAGCCCTGCGGGAAGCAAGCTGACCAACAGCGGCATTGCAACTAGCATTCAGCACGGTAAGACAAGTAGCCTAAATTGGTTTCCCCATTCGGAGGTAAAATAGGTTGTCTGTTTCCTGTTTGTACGAGTGATTAACGTATAGTCCTACTTAGTACCTAAATTCCTATGACTGTAATATTGCAAGTAATTTTCAACAATGTACATACTTCATACATACTTTCTTCTGTTTTGATAAGCCAACATTGACATTGATAGCAAAATAGATTTCAATGAATGTATAATTTATGTTTGTGGACAATTATCAATAATTGTTAATGGGAAGATATGCGATATTTAATTACAAGTCCTGATCTTACAATCATAATGGAAATGCATAACAAAATGAGCATCATATTGTTTTAGTTTTTGAAGATCTCCAATAATGAAGAATGTTCTCCCTAGAAGCATATTCTTTTTTTGTTGTTCTAGGTTAGTGATTCTACAGCTTATGGCAGGCTCTAATACACCATGTCCCTGCATTATCACATAGCTTTGAACTATTGGTACCACACTTAATACCTCTTTCAGGATATCTTAGTTACAACAAATAATACAAACAATATAATAACAAATAATATCCAGTTTCATCAAAATATGTAGATTATTCATACTTTTGCTTGGCTGTTTGTTCAGGACCTCTGGAAGGAGACAAAGTTTACGGAGAAGGAGAAATACTCATTGAAGACCATTTCATTGAGGCTGAAGACTCTCACTTTTTCACCTACTTTCTGTGTATGGCTGTGCTGACCATCATGGCTTATCTGGCTTTCCACAACAAGAAAAAGGTAATTACAACGAGTTAGGTTGACAAATGTTTTTGAACTATGCCTAATCAATCAGTTGAAAATCTCAACAACTATTTTGTAAACACTTGTAAAAAAAACTGTTTTGTTTTCTGTACATATTTAAATTTAAATATGAAAATTAAAATTGAGTCATGTGTTTTAGTTGTTTAAAAAATGAAATTCAGTTTTACTTTTAAAAAGAAAAATTTATATTGTGTTGAAATACATTTTTTTATTTCGTCAATCACCTATTTGGTACTTTACAATCATCTGTGATCTCACTGGTTCTGTGGATTGCGTAACTTAGACAATGACCAATAGGCGACTGTGGCAGGACTTCGATATATAGGATATATGACAAGTAATGATGCAGGAAGCTCCTAAAGAGTGTGAGCTAACCGAGACTGGAGGCAAAGGCGACTTGGAGATACATCTACGTCTAGATTAAACGTGATTTTTCAGCCGAGCCGAGTCTAGCTTAAAGCCTGGAGTGATGGAGCTCAAGCCGAGCTTTGACTATTCCATTATCAGCGGGATTTGAAATGAAATAAAATGAAAATGAAATTAAATTAAAAAAATCGTCGTCTTTATTCTTGAGCGTTTTTCATATTACAACATATGTTTTTCAAAACAACTTACGTCAACATAAATAACATAAAACAATGGCAACTTTCAAATCTTAAATTAGGCTAATTAAAAAATAAAATATTTTCTCTATTCCTTTTCATTTTACCATTCTTCAAGCCATTTGTTATATATTTTTTAAACGTCTTTTCACTGTCCAACACCCCTGGCTCAGTCCTGGATGACAATATATTCCAGATTTTAGGGGCAAAATAAGAAAACCCACAACGGTCGGACTCACAGCGCACACGGGGCATCTCCAGCAAGTCATCCTGCCGTGTGCATTGGGATCGCATCTCAGAGCGAGCTCTCAGTCTTACCTTCAGGTACTGAGGTCTCTCCTCTGACAGTACCTTCCGGATGATGCAGGAAGTGCGTAAAAGGCACAGGTCAGCCATAGGCAATAAGCCAAGAGATGCGAGGTCTGATGAAATTCGATCAAATTTTCGCAGATTGCAGACGTACCTGACAAACATGTTTTGCACCCTCTGCATCCGACTCATGTCTCCCAGTGATGTAACATTGCCATACACCGGAAGACAGTAATCAAACACAGACAGTACAAGTGCCTGCACAAGCCGAAATTTGGTGGGTTTGGGGAACAAGTCACGATGCCTGTACAGCATTCTCAGACGACCTATTGCTCTCTGGCATGCGTAACTCACATGATCAGAAAAGGAGAGCTCAGGATCGAAATGAAGTCCGAGAAGCTTGGGAGCTTTACACTTTTTGAGCGGAATTCCACCAAGGCATACACCAGACAGGGGCTCGGACCGAACAACCCTGCTGACAGAAAAAGTCACCAATGAACATTTGTCTCTGTTCAGTTTGATGCCATGGGACATAGACCATGCAAAGACAGAATCCAAATCAGAATTGAAATCAGAGACTGCCTGATTTGCTGGGTCAGGGTCATGCTGAAAAGCCAGCTGAGCATCATCAGCGTATGAATACAACCGACAATAACGCAAATGTCTTCCGATAGATGCGGCAAACAAAGTAAACATGACAGGTCCAAGACAGCTGCCCTGTGGGACTCCTTTGGACATTTCCAAGGGGGTGGAGATCTCAGATCCAACTTTGGTCTTTTGGCATCTTCTGTTCAAGTAGGAGTGAAACCACGACACTAACTGCTGGTCAAATCTGTAGTGATACATCATGGCCAACAGTAGATCATGATCAATAGAGTCGAAGGCTTGCGAAAAATCCAGCATTGCAAGAGAAGTACACCTCTTCTCAGCTCTAGCTTTTATGACATCATCACAAAGCAGTAACAGAGCAGTCAAAGTACTGTACCCCCTACGAAAGCCAGACTGTGTTGCTGGAATTATTGACTCCAACTCCAGGAACTCAACCAACTGAGAGACAACAATAGTCTCCAAGACCTTGGAGAGGGCGGGTAACACAGAGATGGGGCGAAGATCAGCCAAAGAAGAGGAAGCACCAACTTTGGCCAGAGGAATGACAATGGCTTCCTTCCAGTCATCCGGAAACACCCCCGTAGCCAACGAAACATTCAACGGGTGCGTGACAGCCTCAATACAGTACGGACTTACCATCTTTATCATGCTGATCGATATCTCATCAATGCCAACAGCCATAGAGGTGATCTTGTTTATGGCATCTTTTACTTCTCTTGCTGTTACTGCTCTAAAAGAAAATGTGTTTTCTACATTCTGAGAAATATTATTTAAGTAATAATTAAGAGTTTCAAAGTGAAATTGAGAGCCTGTCCCCATCATTGAAAAATGTTTATTAATTTCTTCTGGATTTCTAAGAAATGATGGGAGTTCAGCATTTTTTGCCTTAACTCATCTGAATTTTTTTCCAAAAATCCTTTGAATTTGAGCATTCTGCTAATTCTCTCTGGAAATAGTTTTGTTTGGCTCTTCTAATAGCACTGTTTAGAGCATTTCTAGCTTTACAGTATTGATCTTTGTCCATGTCATTTCTAGAAATCATTAGCTTTTTCTTCCAAAAGTTCTTTTGCTTTGTGAGATCTATAATATTTTGGTTTCTCCACGGTGCTTTCTTTCTAGTAACTCTTTTTGTTACTAATGGGGCATTTCGATTAAACATTTCTAAAATGGCAGTGGTTATGAAGTTCAATATATTGTTTACATCACTCATGTTTTGGACTGTGTTCCATTTAACCTGGGAAGCACACTCAATCATATTCTCTATATTAAAATTTGAAAAGTCTCTGTAAGTGATATATTTTGCCTTTTCATTGGTTCTGTCATGCTTAACAGGTAATATTCTACAATATTGAGAATAATATTGAGAGTACCACCTCGACATTGATGGTTTGACAACCGATATTGACGCAAGTCTTGAAATCCTAATCCAGCCATCAATACTTCCGGTTCGCTTAGGATATTGACAATAATATTGAATTACATGCTTGTGCATCAATATTATTGTTATACCACTAAAACACATGTCTCCAAGATAGCTTTACTGATCATTGCAGGTGACATAACTGCTGAAAACTTCAGATCTTTAAATCTTCTTCCAGTAGCTAGGTATCAAAGAGTCAAAACAAGTTTTTCCTCAACAGTAATAAATGCTTGCATGTTTGTACTTTTTTTTGCAAAATATGGCTCTACCGTTGGGAGTAACAACTGGAACTTATCTTCATTCATTCTTAGGTAATAGTTGTAGTCTCCAGGGTCACTCAACAAAATTTCTTTCAACAACCTTAAGAATATATTCGTATATGCGTTCGTATATTCGTATATGCGTATATTCTTCACATTTTAGCAACCACTCCTTTACCCACTTCTTTTATTTTTCTATTATTTTTAAAGCTTAATGTAAAATGATGGCAAGAAACAAGAAACACTTTCTTATTGGAGTCTATTTTGGTTCTGAGCAAGTCCTGGACATAAAATATTGACAATAAATTACGACCATGTAAGGTCTGCATATGGAATGTTCCAAGAGTCTGAAGTCAGTATTTGGTTTAGGAAAACGGGATGGATTATTTAACAAGCCTAATATAGATCATCGCTATCTACAGATGGCTTGGATTACTAAAACAAATGTGGTGTTATTTGATGTTTCAGCTGATAGCACTGGCAGTTGAAGGTCGAAGGACCAAAGGCGGACGACGAAGACCAAACAGCTCTCACTACAGCAAGCTGGACTGCAACCTTGAGGAGGCGTTGGTCAGCAACACCACAGCCTCCGTTACACACGTCCTGTATTGAGGACCAAACTAATGTAGATTAGACATCGCTACTGCATGAAACTTGGTAGTTAAATCAGTTTTCTACAAAGTAGTTGAACTCTGTTTAATTGTCTAGAAGAGAAATCGTCTCTGACTCTTTGTGTGATTTTTATGAGGAATTCACTAAGTGAATTTCGTTTTACGATTATCAGGGTTATGTAGAACTTAAGGAATTGTTGACTATCTGGTTTTCTTCGTTATGAATTCTATGTGAAAAGACGCATGTTTTAACTAATCAACTCTAATTGTTGCGCAGAGATATAATTTCACATTGGCTTTAATTTAAACCAAAAGCACTTTAGGCTATGAAAATGGCCAGATAAAAGTTGACTCTGTGTTAAATGTTGAAGAATTAAAAAAACAGTAAATGTCTACAATAACATTTTTTCACAATCATCTCTAAACACAATGCTTGTTTATTTTGAACAATAAAACTTTACTTTTTTAGCCTGTGACTTATGAATCTCTAGGGGAAATTATTAGGGATTTTGTTTGGACGAGTTTCCTGAAATTGGTAAAAACTCGTATGCTTCATGGTAGTTTAGTAGTCTCAAACTCTATTTCAAGCATAAATTATTGATTTTTGTAGCTACTGGAGTTACAGACAGTTTCATGACATTATTGTAAGACTCACGCTTTTATATCTATTGTAAAAATGCCGGGTGTCTGAATCTTCTTTACCCTCAAAACTTTGTAACCATGTCCGTCCCATCTACAGGTAGTTTCCATTTCAAGACCCATATTTTTATATGCTTATAATTCCTTTCTCTCTAATACAATAAAATATGCAATAAAACTTTGTTCGATTGTTGGTATTTTATGGATGAAATAAACTACGTCTGGATAATTTATTTTAATTTTTTTTGTTTACTTTGCTTAGCTAGTCTTTAGTTCCTGTTTAACCAAGGGCATTGGTTTGTGTCATAAATTGATAATGTTATTACATATTTTTGTATTTATATTTATTTAGATTGTGATGTTTATTTATTTGTATCTACCACATATATTTTGTGGCAAAGAATTTTTTATTGTAATTCTAATGACTTGTTTACAGTTTGCGGTTTATAGTGGGCGCGGACTTGACAGTGGGTGTGTTTATAGTGGTATGTGGCTAAGCCGCTGATAGCTTAGTATGTGTATATTATGTTGAGATGTTGTATTTATGATGTCGGTCTTTGAACTTGGAAATGTCCAAATATCAATCAAACGTTTCTATCGGTCGAACACTTTATTTGAGTGTTTGCTATCAATAAAGTATTATTTAGGAGTCCTGTTTGTATACTTTGTGAACCTTTTACTACTTCTGCTAACAAAAATTGTTTCACAATAATAAACCTATAAATTTTGTAAACTTCCATTTGCCTAATAGGATTTTCACTAAAATCCTTGAAAATTTTTATATATTTATTAATTGATTCCCTATTTAAATAACATAAGTTCAGTGAGTACTTAAGTTTCCTGCTACAGGGAAGGTAATAGAGTTTTTTTATTGTTAAATAAATAAATTTTCCAAATGCTATCAAAATATGTTTATAAACAAGCTTACTAAAACAGTTTACTTATTGTGGATATTTATAGGCATGCACTGTGGATGTGATACTCCCTGGTGTGGATTAACGTCCGCACGAGTGAGTACTACGACTATCCGCAGTACTATCCTGATAATTAGACCAATTCGTATATACCAAGGAAACATGTGGCTCGGATTCCACTATAAACTGTAGGTCCGCTAGTTGCCATTAGCTGCATGGGCTATTAATTAACAGCTGTGCCTAAGGAATGTCGGCCTTAGTCACTAACAAGACTACAAGATCGCGCCACTCATCCTATACATTCATACTTGGCTTAAAATACCTACTATGTATGGTCGCCATTTCATTGAACAGTATCTAACAGTATTCTCCATAAGAATAAATAACGTGGGAATTTTTAATTTACAGTTTTTTTATTTTATTTTATCTTTAACCATTAATTGCATCAAGACCAATCTACTAATTTTTTTAGAATCTCTACCAGATTGTTTTACATAAACTTGCAAAATTTTTTGTTTTTCAGGTCGAAAATGAAAAAAAAAACATACCGGTATTTAAACCACATAAAACTACCCATAAACCCCAGTTCCCATAGTCTGATCATGCTGGTCCGCAAGCTTGTTAGAATAAATGTAGGTTTACAGGTTTATGCAAAATGTTATCAAAATCGTATAATTTTTGCTTGCGTTATCTTGCTAATGGGACATATATACTAGCGGAATACCCGTGCCTCGCTACGGAAACTTTCAGATTGGTTGACATTTTTTAATAAATTATTGTTTAAGTTCCAACAGCCTTCAGTCAACAATTCAGCTACAACCTGTTTTTCTCCGATCAATGTCATAATAAAGCAGTAATTATAATGTCTCACCGGGCTCATAAAGTGTGGTTGCCCATGACCAGACTGCATAAAGGTTTAGGTAGGTGCTGCAGAATAATAATAAGGATGATCTCAAAAAGAGTTTATATTTGATAACGATCCATTTATTTGATTTCAAACACTTACAAAGTGCCTTGAAAGGTATAAATGCATTGGAACTTAGACTTAACTGGAAGTACACTTAAGTAGTTCCTTTGGTTCATGACACTGTACTGACTCGTTTGTGATTTTTTCATGATTTTGTTAAGTTGTGAATTTTACCAGAAAACTTGCTGTCAACATCACCAACGATAGCTTTGATACATGATGAATTTGACTAGATGAAGGAAGTTGGGATTGTAACATCTGTGCTTGAACCTTACTCATCCCCAGCGATGACTCTTCCGAGACACCAACTGTACAGTTCACCTGAGAAAAGAACAGGGATTTAGAAATATTATGTAAAATGTATTAGTTAGAGAATTTGACAAAAAAAAGAAAAGAAAGTGGTGGAAAGAGTAAGGAGTAGATACTAGATTAGATACATAAGTAACTTAGGCAAGAAAAGAATCCAAGACAGTTTCTATAGTTAGTTGTAAAAGTACTTATTAAAATATATTCGAATATTTCATCCCTACAAGGGGGTTTCTGCTAGAGATGGGAAATACCTTTACTTTTCAGGTATAGTCAGGAACTTTCTTTAGTATTTTAGTAATAGATGAAATAACAATATTATTTTTGTCACCTTATATTTCCCCTTCCGGCGTTATTTCACTTGTTCGGGTACTACGACGTTACAAAAATGATATGATTCTCAGTAATTATTGCTAAGCGTTTACTGTTAATTAATAGGATGACATGGTCAGCGTTATTTCACTAACTTGTTCTAACGGTTCAGAAGACGTTACAAAAATAATCAAAGATTCGCCTATTGGGTCTGATGATTATTGGAGTGTCCAATCGAAATCGATCACCACTTACCAAATTTTATGTGTATTTACCGTCTTGTGAGTAACAATATAAGCGTAAATATATGTTTTAAGTGTTATAAGACGTTTCTTTTATTTACTTTCCGTGAATCTTCAGTAAAATTGTTATTTATTCTATTATGTTATATAACGCCCACAACTAGTTTCTGCAGAAGTTAGTAGGCTAGTAGAATACTTCTTCCTACTACTTCATTCTGAAGAAGCCCCTTCCTTGTAGGTGTGAAATGTCAAATTGATTATGTTGTGAACACACTGGTCGATAAAGGAGTAAATCTTAATAGTAAAAGTTGAAGATATACTTACAGTTATTACACTCTCTATAATACATTGGACAAGTTCATTGAAAATCTCAGCAGCTTTTTCACCACACATGACTGATGTCTTTAGGTAGTAACAATCCCTTATTTCTTGATAGGCTCTAAGGCAGGAAAACAATTTGTAGGTACATTTTGACACTTTACTTTTCACCAGAGTCTATTCCTTGCACCTCATTTAATTAAAATTCCTAATTTAAAAACACTGCTTTTTACTATCTCCCCCTATAGGGTACATTATAAAATATAATATCATAGCTACTCCCACTGTTCATTCATTAAGGTTGTCGATAAGCTAAATAGGAAAAAGTATGTGTCTTCTTGCTGATACCATTTATTTTAAATTCTTTAAAATTTAAACTGGCTGTTTATAGAGTTCTTTCTTTGGAAATCATTTTAAAATTTAAATATAACAGATAATTTATAAATGTTTATATAGAAAACTAAAATTATGTTATAAATTATATAAACCACTGCTTATTTAGGACTTGCACACATTTTAAACCCATTAATTACTGTTTCTATATATTGGTAGTAAAATATCAAACAGATTTAGATGGATATTAATATTTTCAAAGGAGTAACTACCTGCAAACTCGCTGACTATTTGAGCTCTCACTCCAGTCCGTAGGTCCATTGCATGAGTCGCCTACTTCTGTTTGGAGTTTGCCATAGCATTTCTTATGTTCCATGAAAGCTAATTACATGAACATGGTTATAAACATATACTTGCTAATATTTAATATACTGCCTGTGTTGGAGAGTGAGATTTATATTCCACTGTCATTGACAAAAGCATTTTTTTTTTCAATAGTGTAAGTCACCTTCAAAGTTAAATGTGTGATCATCATTATCGATTTTGCAGCTCTAGTCTCCCCATTAGCTGACACCTCTTCCACCTACAGTAGTCTCAGTTAGTCTGGGCGCGCGGACCCTTGTGTACTAACCGTCCCGCACGCCAAAGCCATGAAGACAGCGCTGAGGCACTAAACAACCCCAGAGAGCCGTGTGGGCCAGATGTTTTTGGAAATGTGCAATAAACACTCCCCTCTACACCACCCGCCCCAGCACGGCCGCGCGCTCAGACTAGCTGCGACAACTGTACAACTAAAGCTCACCCTCTCTTCCTTTTGCTTTTGATGTTTTCCTTTTACAGTATCATTGTCTATTGTCTTGGAGTTTTGTTTCGCCAAGGGATTGTCATACTTTAATACTTTTCAATGAAATGGGGACCATACAAAGTAGGTATTTTAAGCCAAGTATGAATGGAGATGAGTGTAGATGTCCTTTCCCCTGGGATACACTAGGCAGGAAAGGACAAGGGCAGGAGCCTTCTGGCCTCTGGTTAGATGCAACGTAGGCTACAGTCAGACAAGAATTGTCCGTCTGCATGAACTTACATTTGTGATAAGTGTCTCTGGTGCAGAGCTTCTTGTGAAGTGCTTTCACTGCATCAAATAAGTGAACATATTCGTCTTGTCCTGGTACTAAATTACATGACTTCATATAAGAATCCATGTGACTAATGGTTTTGGAAATGTTGCTGGAACCAAAATCAAGCAATCACCCATACGTTGTATATTGTGCTAACTAAACGACACTCAAGCCTAAGAGTTTGGGATCCATATATTCCATGGTTTGAAATAAAATTCATTTAATTGAATTTGTATTACAGTATATACAACAGAACCATTCTTTAAATCTAGACACATTTGGTCTCCAAATTAGTTGTTTAAAGAATTTGAGATTTTCTAAAATAATTACCTATTTTTTATTTTGTTTTTTAATCCTACATTCAACAACTTTGTCAACAATGTTTGCAGACATACTGCAATCAAGAACTTCTTAGTAGGTTTTATTTGTTTATTGCAGTGAACAAACAAAACACTGTTAAGATTCAATATGCAGGATCAGTGGCGTGTCAAGGGGGAGGTTCCAATGTGTCATTCCCTCCAAAAAAGGAAGGAGGTCCTCACGCAATAAAGCAGTTTGGTGAGTTACTAAAGCCATTTATAATGTCTAAAACTGTGTCAGGAAATATCTGTTATGTTTTTATGACAAAATTAATGTTTACACTTCTTTTCCAGCATCCATTAGGGGAAGGGGATGTTAGTCAATTCAGTTCATAGTTTTTATATAGGTATCTAGTTAAAATAAAAATAAAACTCAATTTATTATAAATTACTCAACCTTCAGCCTATGTATTCTTACTTAAAAATACACATAAATTAAATCTGCTGTGGATTCAGAACTCAAAAGTAGTAATCAACATATTTACCTAATAATCTCTTTGGTGACCAACACGTCTTACTATGGTACACGCCTTTATATTTCACTTCATAAATACTACCATCAAAATGAAAGAAAAAATTAACGTTTTTCACTCACTGGCATTTGTTTTCCAACTTGTTTTTGGTTGAAAGAGCTATCACGCTTTCTGGGTTGATCACTTGAATTGACGTCAAGTGGGAAGAAAGGACAGAATCTTCACAGTCCTGTCTTGAGACCACTTTATCCCTCCCAAATAAATAGGCGTTCTCACCCATTTCATTGTTGTCTGAGAAAAACATAAAGTTCCCATCTTCACCTTCATCTAACTCTTGTGCTGAAATATTTGATGAATACTTTGGTATATTATAATCAAATTAACGGTATAATCAAACTGACACCTTTCTACCAAGCTTGACAACAGCTGTTTTCCTTCAGTAATGATGCCAGCTAGCCAAAGAGAACCACTTTACATTATCTACATTTTTAAAAGTGTTTTGAAAACATTTTTTATATTGTACATTGGTACCGTACTACTAACCTTCAATGCTATTTTAAAAATATTTTTGATTACTGTTCCCTTAAAAATGACTTTTTTCTATTGCTTATCAATGTTATCAATGTTTAAACTGTAGAGTGAGACCAACTGTGAGAATGAATATGTACCGCCAATTGTTCCGCCAAAACTGCAACTGTGTCCTGCACTATCTGCCGAGACAAAACTGCAGACGTGTGTCTCTCAAAATGTGAGTTTGAGAATGTTGATTGTGGTTGCTTTCCAGATTCCAGATCGTAACTCGCTGACATATGACCATGAAGAATCCCGTCCGAAATACAGGATATCATCAGAGTATTGATGGTTCATGGAATTTAAAAAACATTTCTACTCCACTGTTAAAGTAAGTGTTAACAGCTTTGTCCAGCTTTTAGCTTACAGTCTCGGAATTGTTGGAGTGTTCAATGGCTCAATGTCATGGTTATCTTTGATATAAGTTATTTTTTAACTTTTAGGTTGTATTAATTCTTTAGGTTGTTTTTGTGGCATTCAGTGAAAGCTCAGTTACACAGAATTGATTAATATCTTTGAATATAATAGTGTTGTATATTCAATGTTTTTATTCAGTTCGATGTGTTAACATTTACTTTGCAAGGTAAACATATTTTAAATGGTTAAATTTTAACACATACAAAATTCTAACTAAATTTATATTTTTTAAATAAGAAAATTACAAAGAAAATAATTTTCTATAGATTAACTTTTTTAGGTTATTTATAACATTACAAGGCAAAACCTAAATACCTTAATCCATGTGGTAAATTATTGAATGTTACAATCGACACAGAAGTTGGGTTGGGAAAATTAGCTAAGTTTGGTTATTGTCTGAATTGATACTTTTGCGTTTGATAATATGATGAAGTAGGATATCACATTTTGCTCATTAGAGTATATCAAATAATATGCTTACCTTGAGACAAAGAAAACCATAAGATATTCAACAGAAAACAACATACATTACACAATAGTTTCATATTTTGGCGCTCTTTTATACAGCAAGTTACGAGTTAGTTTTGGATAAATACCCTAATAAGCCTTAAATTTGTTAAAATGAAGAAAGATAAATTTTGATTCAAAGTTTGTTTACAGTTACATAACCTAGGAACTACATTTATTACTTTTTGCTTATTTATCTCCCCAGGTGATAGTATCATGCCAACAAGGATGAACTTTTGAGAAAACCATAAGCTGCACACCTATCAACCGCATGCTTGAATGAAAGGTCTTGATGTGAAAGTTCCCTGAACAATATCAGTTTTTTCAAAAAACCCTCCCCTAAGGGCAGGAACCTTAAGCAAAGGGCTGTATTAATCACATTCAAAATATTGAAGATACATCAGCTGTTACATTTGTTTTTGTTTTAGAGTGTTTGTTTACTTGTCCTTGAGTTAACCTTTTGATTCTACCCTTATAGGTACTCTATATTGCATCAAGAGAAGTGACAGTACGTTTTACTTATAATTTAAAAACCTTTGAATTGTTTCAATTGTTTACTTATGAGTTCAGTATTATATATTGTACTGTCTTAAAACAGATATATTAATTTAAATAGTTTTCAGCTGACTTAATTGTTTGTTTGTTTTTGTTTTTGTGTTGTTCATGATTTTGAAATGGAAGTAAAATCTATGTAACATAATGTTAGTTTCATTTTATATTTAAAACTGTTCAATGGCGACGAGGATGAGGAGGAGGAAGGATGAGAGACACCAGGAGCTAGTAGAAGAAGGTATATTAACACCCAGTCAACCTATTTTCTGTTCTAATTTTGATAAATTTGATGAAGACAATGAGACATGGAGTTCATACATGGTAAGGCTAGACAACTTTTTTGACCTAAACGGAATTACGTCAGAATTAAAGAAAAAGCAATATTTGATCAATTTATTGACACCTACAGTATTTCACGACCTGAGAATTAATCTAAGCCCATGTGACATTGAGGATAAAAATTATGACGAAATATGTGAAGCTTTACAATTATTACTGGAACCTAAGGGAAGTATTATTGCAGAACAACATAAGTTCACTAAACGAATCCAGAATCCGAGTGAATCTGTAGGCAGCTTCGCCAAAGATCTGAAAACCTTAGCCAGTAAATGTGATTTTAAATGTCCAAAATGTAATGCATCAACATCTGACGTTCATCTGCGGCAACAGTTTATTTCGGGCATTCATGATGGAAAATTGCTGTCTAGATTAATTGAAATTCACGAAGATAAAACGTTTAACCAATGTCTTGAAATAGCAAGTAACTTTGAGCAAATCAAAAGTGAAACAACGAAAATCCAAGAATCAAATTTGCAATCAAAAGTTGGAGAACAATTTCAGATTCGAGGGAAGAAAAGCGCTGGATATTTGCAAGGAAAGGGTAGTAAAATATCATGTTTCAGGTGTGGGGGACACCATCACATAAGTGCGTGCGAAATTCCAGCAGACATTAAATGTTGGAATTGTGAGAGGAAAGGACATCTCAGCAAAGTTTGTCGGAGAAAGAAACAAAACATGCGACAAGCTGATGACGCTTCGACAGGAAATGAGTATGAAGAGGAAGGTGAGTGTCAAAATCCACCTTTTATGTCAATTTTATCCGTTGTGGATAGAAAGAAGAAATGTACTAAATTGTCTAAGCTCTCGGATGATGCATATCAACCCGAAATGGTAAACAGGCCGGGAAAGATTATGTTAGACTGCACCATTGACGATAAGCGTAACTTTTTTGAGTTAGATACTGGTGCTGCGGTCAGTACTATACCGCTGCATCTGCTTAAGAAATTATTTCCAGGTAAGATTCTAAATAGAACAAGAATGCCGTTAAGAACCTATACAGGAGAAATAATTCGCCCGGTAGGGTTTGCGACTGTCGAAATTTGCTATGAAAATCAAATATCTGTGGGCAACCTGTATGTTATTCGGGGGAACGTAGACAGTATTTTTGGAAGGGAGTGGTTAAAGTTGTTCAAAATTGAGCTTCCTTCATTAAACCAGGTATCAGAAGATCAAACAGATCATAAAAAAGACCAGTTTATAGAGAATCTTAAGAGCGAATTTCCTAATGTTTTCTTACCAGGAGTGGGTAAAGTACCGAACTATGAAGCTCATTTGAGTTTGAAACCAAACTCTAAGCCGGTTTACCTGCCACCCCGCCCTGTTCCTTTTGCTTTAAGGGATAAAGTCAATGATGAAATTGACAGGTTAGAAAAGGAGGGAATTCTCTCAAAGTTGACCTACAGTCAATGGGGTACACCTATAGTACCGATAGTTAAACCAAACGGGGATATTCGGCTTTGTGCTGATTACAAAGTATCAGTTAATAAGACCTTGGAACCTGATCATTATCCAATTCCAACATTGGATGACATATTTGCGAGCATGAGTGGCTGTAAGTATTTTTCGACTATTGATATTTCTCAAGCGTATTTAAACATTCCCATGGACAACGAGAGTGCCAGAGTACAGGCCATTAGCACATATAAGGGTGTATATGCTGTCAATAGACTCATGTTCGGAATCAAAAATGCTCCAGCTGAGTGGCAAAGATTCATATCTCAAGCTCTAGACAACATTCCAGGTGTTACGGTGTTTTACGATGACATTAGAGTAGTGAGTAAAACGTTAGAGGAGCACAAAGATCGGCTAAAAGAAGTTTTCAGAAGGTTATCCAATAATAACTTGCGAGTCAATAGTAAGAAATGTAATTTATTTAAAGCTAAGATTGTGTATTTAGGACATGAAATATCAGAAAAGGGTATTCACAAATGTAAAGACAAAGTGGAGGCGGTAGTAAATGCTCCCCGACCGACCAATAAAGATGAGCTTAAAAGCTGGTTGGGTCTCATTAACTATTATGGAAGGTTTGTCAATCATCTCTCAAGCTTGTTACACCCTTTGTATGAACTGACCAGAGGTGGTAGAAAGTTTACCTGGACCTCGGAATGTGAGAAATCTTGGCTTCAAACAAAAAAGGAAATTGCTTCAGATAGAGTTTTAGTTCCATATGACCCTAAATTACCAATTATTCTGTCAGTTGATGCCAGTCCAGTAGGGCTTGGAGCTACTCTTTCACACGCTCTCCCGGATGGATCGGAAAGACCAATATGTTTCGCTTCTCGCACTCTTACGCTCACGGAACGGTCGTATTCTCAAATCGATAAAGAAGCTACAGCAATCTTTTGGGGTGTAAATAAGTTTTTTCAATATGTGTTTTCCAAAAGGTTTATTTTAAGAACAGATAATAAACCACTTGTTTCTATCTTCAACCCCGCAAAGGAATTACCACGAATGACTGCGCAAAGACTTCTAAGGTATGCCATATTCCTGCAAGGTTTTGACTACGAGGTTCAACATATAACTTCTGAGGAGAATGTCTCGTCTGATGCCCTTTCGAGAGCACCGATAATAGGAAAAGAGGATGAAAATTTCATGGATGACATAAACAGAGCGTGTTTATACCAAATTAGGCAATTCAATGATGTATTGCCTGTGAAGCTGGACGAAATTCAAGAGGAAACTCAGAAGGAAATTGTAATGAAAGATATTTACGATTGCTTACTACGAGGTAAACCATTGGGTCATAAGGAGTATAAAAAACACTTGGATGAATTGAGTATAGTGGACGGTTGTATAATGAGAGGCGATCGAGTTATTATACCACGCACTCTGAGAAAACGTGTTTTGAATGATCTACATTCGTCTCATACAGGAATTGTTAGGATGAAGGCCCTTGCAAGAAGTTATGTCTGGTGGCCAGACATGGATCTCGATATAGAACAATTTGTGAAACAGTGTACACCCTGCCAAAGAAATCAGAAGAATCCTGCTAAAGCGTGGCATCCATGGGAACCAGAAAATGCACCGTGGAAAAGAATACATGTTGATTTCTTAGGACCTGTATCAAATCAATACGTTTTACTGGTTGTAGATTCATTCTCTAAATGGTTAGAAGCCTGTCCCATGACACAAGCAACATCAAAGAAAACCATAGAGTTTTTGGAAGATATTTTTGCAAGATTCGGCCTACCTTATACATTGGTGAGTGACAATGCTTCAATATTTAAATCAGAAGAGTTTAGTAATTACTTAAAACATAATGGTATTATTCACAGAACCATTGCACCATATAATCCGCAGAGCAATGGTCAAGCAGAACGCTATGTTCAAGAAGTGAAAAGGTACTTAAGAAAAGAAGTGGACACAAATGGAAACCTAAAAGAAAAACTTCTTAAAGTTCTTTCATCTCACAGACGAACACCGACATCAACAACAACAAAAAGTCCGGCAGAGTTGATGTTTGGAAGAAAACTGCGGAATTCGTTAGATGTCTTGAGACCTTCATTAGAGTCAACGTTGAAACCTACCTTTCGCACAGCCCAACAAGGATGTACATCTTTCAAAGGAACCATAAGAGAATTCAAAGAAGGTGAACATGTTTTGGTAAGAGAAATGGTGAAAAATGGCAAAATTGTTTGGAGAAAAGGCGAAATAAAGAAAAGAATTGGAAGAGTTATGTACTCCGTTGCTGTTGATGACATGCTATGGAGACGGCACATAAATCAACTTCGGAAGATATAGAATCGACAGTATCCTTTGAATTATTTCATGGGGGAAGAGTTTGTACTGTCTTAAAACAGATATATTAATTTAAATAGTTTTCAGCTGACTTAATTGTTTGTTTGTTTTTGTTTTTGTGTTGTTCATGATTTTGAAATGGAAGTAAAATCTATGTAACATAATGTTAGTTTCATTTTATATTTAAAACTGTTCAAAATAATATTTAAAATTATATTTAAAGTTAAATTTAAAATTGTTTACTTATGAGTTCAGTATTATATATTTTAAAAACACAGCAATTTATGTTGCAGACAAATGTTGTGTACCTATTAAGTGATACAAGAACCATAGAGTTTGGATGGAGTCTTATGGGCTCCAACTGGGAAAAACGCATCTGTAGAGTATTTTTCATTGCGCCATAGACATATCTTCTCTGCGTTCTCTCCCCAATCCAAGGCACGGGCAGAACAACTAACTATATTATTAGAATTAATGACATGACACATACTTTTAAGCAATTGCTAAGATCTTTTGACTAGGATATTACATCCCAGTAACAAAGTGGTTGCCAGTGTTTTAGAATTGAAATGAGCTTAGTTGAAATTAATGAGCCACGGATAAAATGCATTGGCCTTCATGTTTAATGCACAGATTTGTTTACCAACTTATATGAAAAGTTCGAGTATGGATAAAATTCCATGTTGAGGGCCCCTGGATAACTATAATTAGAAAAAACGTAAATTCTAAGGAAGTTCGGCAAATCTACACACTATCCCCTATAATTTTAGACATAAATCTTGTAGATCCGTCCAGTAATTACTGAGAAAACAGTGTTACAACTGTGTATTAAATATATAGATGACAATATGATTGTACATATTGTGTTTTTGTCATATTGGCGATGCCACATTAATGGCAAAACATATTTAGGTCATTCAACTGATTTCTACAACTTGTTGGATTACATGACGAGGTAAATTATTCCATCACATGTATCGTAGAAAAGAAGTTGTTGCGTTACTAAACTACCCGAGGAAGTTTGTATGTTTGTATGGTAATCAGGGTTAAACATGACAGATATGTAGCAGCATTAATTGAACTTACACAATCAGCCTTATTACTGTACACACACACACACGCACACACATATCTTTAAGGAGGAAAATCAGTCAAGTTAGCAATGATTCTGCTTATAACTCATGTTGTACTTTGTGCAGCTTTTGTAAATACAGTGATGATATCTAATGATATTCTGGATGATAGTGTTGATAAAGGTAAGGTTATTTTATTCTTTTGCCTATCCTAAATTTTGAAAACGGAATACTTTAAAAAGGTACAGTAAATACACATTATGTAAAACAAAACCATCAGATATAGTAAAATAAATAATATTGTTTGATAACATAAACTTCCATCAAGAGCTAAATCCAAGGTAGTAATAACCATTGAAACCTTGCCTCGAATATTTCAAGCAAAAAAAGCAGTGTTTGACTAAAACTCTATAGGTAGTAGATATATGTAGTCTATGTCAGTATAGTAAGAGCACTTATTGAATATTTGCTCCATAATTTGAGACTGCTCCATACCTACAAGGCTGATCATCTGTCTAACTCCATTTTTACTACTGGTACCACTTTGTTACACTTACTTAGCTGAAGATTATTAAGTAAAGTACTTTGATTTAAGTCTATAAAATGCCAAAACTATTCTTGTTACAGGGGTGCATTCTTATTCTTCAACCAAATTGTCAAATAATATTTAGCCTCCATTGTTCCCGGGGTGAATATTGATGATTTTGAGAAAAATATCAAAAATATATAGCCTAGGCTATTCATTTGTGATTAATCATTTTTTATTTTAGAGAGTACGGTACATAATGTTTCATAAATACTTTAATACTTTGAAATGGCGACCATACGAATTTAGGTATTTTAAACCAACATTACATTTCATCCCCAGATTTGTTAAAGTATAAATCCTTTCTAATTCTTTCATTAGCAGTAGTAATGTTTTAATCTAATTGAACTTCATTGAATGAATCATTCTTAGAATGGGCCATTAACAAAAATTATATTTTCTCCTTTAGTACATGATTACTATTTTAGTTGATTTGGCATCAATATAGTATACAAAAGTAGTCCTTTCAGTATTTATATGGTTCAAAAGTTAGAGAAATTAATTTGTAGAAATCAGTAATAATTAGCATCAGTACACTTAGCTAGTGGCTCAACTCAACAACATTCATTTATAATTTAGCTACAACTTTAACTGGTAATAGAATGTCTGCGTCTATCAATAGCTGAAACTAAAACTCTAGCACTAGTTTTTTATAACACTAAACTTCAGTTTTAGAGCCACCTCCTATGGAGCGATGTTACCCAGGTTTGGGATGTTTTGGGCTGGACTATCCCTGGGTCTCTGTAGAGAGGCCGTTCCGTCGTCTGCCAGACAGTCCACTTGATATAGGCACTGTCTTCTACCTAAGCACGAGGTTTGTGCCAACCCTTACCTTAAACCTTTGTTACCTTGTTGTTATTAAACTTAAACTTAAAACACAATCCACCAATTTTCCATTAAATTAAATTTATTTTAACTTAAACCATATTGATTCATTGTCATATTGTTGAAGGCAGTTCTCAAAGGAGAAAGTTTTCTCTACCTATGGGCCAGTATGGGGTCTATACTTTTTACTTTCACCCCCTACAAAGTAAGTGGAGAAAGTATTTTGTTTTCTTAACATTTTTCCTGTTTGAGTTTTGGTGGATATCCGTTTTGGGTGGATATATCCGGTTTGGATCCTCCTGAACCCAAAAAAGTGGTTTTCAAGTTGTTTATGTGTAAGTGAGTGTGTTTATGGATGGGTACAGAGTTAAAGACTTAAGTTAAGACTACTACCTGTGGTCCGATTTTGATTAAATTTGTTTGTGGATACTATTCTATGGCATCTCCAGGCGTATTACATTTTTTTTACTTGGATTTGTAGTGGTAATTTTCCCATAAAATAACCGATAAATTGGATTTTCACAAAACAGAACAACGATTCTTGTAAAAATTTATTATGATGGTCCTTTTAACTGTAAACAATATGGTGCCACTCTCAATGCTATATAAATAACGGTTTAAAAGTTATTGTAACTTTTGTAATTTTCCCTATCAAATATGGTAGTTACTCCCACCACTTGCCAGGAGTGGCTTCAGGAATAATTTTTTGGGTAGGCCTGACAAGGATCAAGAAACACAGTTTGATCGGGGGGACAAGAGGTTTGAAGGGCTTTCCCCGCAAAAAGGAGGAATTTTAAAATTTAAATGCAAAGTAATTAGTTTGAATGTTTTCCCTTTGTTTACATATAATTAAATTTCTTTATTTTTTTATAGTTTTTTTTCTTTTTTTTTTCTTGTGTCTACGCCAGTGGCATTTTTGTAATTAAGTCAAACACTTAAGGGAAAGCGGTCCAAACCCATTAAAGTTTTGTGGATGTGCCGGGGATTGAACCCGTCCCTCCCGCACCGAAGTCCGAGTTTTGAAATATCTACCAAAATTTTGGGTAGGCCTGGAAACGATAGCCTGCGCGTTTAGTGTGTGCATGCCCTCTGGAGCCGCCCCTGCCACTTGCCCATGATAAGTTAAGTGTTGTGGACAAACTGATGGCAGAAAGTATTTGTCAGTTGCTGGTACTGTTTAAGTAGTTGGAGGGAGTTTTTTTACAGAGATAGTTCTCTCTACATGAGATATGTCTCCTGTTTTCCAGATAGGTGAACACAGCTTAAAAAACCTCTGGTTTGCAACATTATCATATAGTCATTGCTGATTGGTGGGATTTGAACCGTAAACCTTTGGACTAAAGCCCTTTACTCCTTTTTTGTCCTAGGACACAATGAACTATAGTCTGATTTTTACCGGAGTGCGGCTGGAGCTCAGCCCTACCTGCGAGGGACCCGACTCACGCACGCACACTCACCACCGTCCTAATTGCCTGAAAGCCCCGAACCCCTATTCACTAAGTAGAAATATAACATCTGTTGTATGATACCTCAAAATTGCAATTCATTTGATGTTAGATATACAGTAAAATGGTTAGTGTTAATACATTTGTTGTTTAATTCAATGAAAAATGAGTCCAAACACGAAATGATTATGACAAGTAGCTAGCTAATCAAAGCGTGTTAAAATATTCGTAGCTTTTACACTTTGTAAGCAAAATATATATTGTTTGGTATCATTTTACTAAGCATTTTGAGCTGAAGTCAAAAGCGTTACCAGATTTTATAACAAACGTAAAATTAAAAAATTGATTGTTTAATTTCCGTGAGCCAGCGATGACTCGCGCGGCAGGTCAATGGTCCGTCCCACGTCCGTCCTAATCCCTTGCGTCTGTGTGTGTGAGGCCTGCGTGTGTGTGAGTAGAGTCCACCCTTCAGCCAGCCGCTTTCCGTCAACAATCACACTATAGCCCAGGATCGTTTTTCACATTACTTCATGCTAGACCAAGAGGATGCGGCATTATCACTTTGATAAAATCCAGGGACCGAAGTCCTGCACTCTAACCACTATAGCAGTAGCACCCATGTTTTACTAAGCTACTTATTATAATTGTGTGTTAACGATTCTTTTACTCTGCAAAAATATATTTTGGAAACATTTATTTATTTATATCATTTATACTACTCAAGGACAACTGGGTCCAGTTTTGAACCATCAAAAAGCAACAACTTTTTCTCAGGATCGAACCAGCTACCTTTTTATTACTAGGCGAGCACTATAACTGCTCAGCTACCCAGCTATTTTGTCAACAACCTATATACGTAAAATGTGTTTATTTACAGAACGTATAGAAATACACAGAGACAGCTTGTGAAGACAGAACCAGATATCTCACTCCTAGGCCTAGACTGGGACAGCCGTCGGTGGACTGTCATTCTCACTCACGGCTTTCGCTCGAGTGGTAACATTTCATGGGTCAGAGAATTGGAAAACACACTGTTAGATATTGTAAGTGTAGCTCTATGGTTTGTTAAAAAAAAATCAACAATGAAAATAAAAAATGAAAAAAGGTTGTGAAATACATGGTTGATGAAAACATATAAGTTTTTTATGATTTTCCTATATAGGGAATAAGCAAGCTATTACCGTAGGTCTCATGGTAATTAAGACCACGATTCGGTATCGCTTTACTTTTTTTGTTTTGATGTCCCCAGAGACCAACAACAATATAAGAGAAAAAATGTATATTTGTGTGTCCGTTTGTGTGATAACTCTAGTATTTGATCCAATCTTGACAAAATTTGTTTCATACGTGTAAAAGTAAATCTACATTTCGAACAATTTAGCTAACCAGTCCAATCATGCTGGTTATACTAATCAGCATGATTGGACTATGGGGAACAGTATTTTAGAAGGGGGTTTATGGGGGTGTAAAATATGGTTTTTCCCATTATAACCCAAAAACATAACATATTGCAATTGATTTTGAACTCATTTTGTTGGGCTTAAAAAACAGATTTTTAAGTACCGGTATATATTTAAGTTTTGTGGGCTTACAGAGAAAATTCTATAAAAGGAAGGTTTATAATTCTTGTGTATTTTTTAAAAAGTGTATGTAAACTGTTGTAGTTTGCTTGATTATGGTTGATCAAATGTGGCAGATTAATTTGTTTCATACTAGATATTGCTAGCTATTACCATAGACCAACCAACACAAGTAGACTTGTCATCCCATTGTAAATTTTGGAGCACGTTTTTCGTGTCTAGTTCATGTACGGTGACACTGGGCGCTAGTGTCAACAAAATTTTGTTTCTATTGTTTTAGGGTTAATTTCTTGATTTGTGCTTTACTGTTTGGTTATATAACTAGGATACAAGTTATTGTTTATGATTAGATCGTATTATTTGGTTAAACGAGGTTTTAAATGACTGTAATAACTGGAAACAAATTGTAAACAAAACACGACCTCTACATAAACCGTACAGAACTAACAATAAAATTGTCTTCAGCTGTTGCATAAGGATGAGAAATGTACTTGGGGGAGTATGTTTTATCTATGCTATTACCGATAATAACCACACTAATCCTATCAGATAAATGTACTCTGGATGTGATACTCCCTCCCTGGTGTGGATTAACGTCCACACTCGTGAGTACTATCCGCAGTACTGTCCTGATAATTAGACCATTTTCTTAGCTACAAGGCAAAAATGTGGTTCAGCAAAAACTGTAGACCTCTAGTTACTATTCGTTGTATATGGGCTATTAATTAACAGCTGTATCTAAGGAACATGTCCGCCTTATAGTTACTAACAAGACTACAAGATCGGGCTACTCATCCTACACTCATCTCCATTCATACTTAGCTTAAAATACCTACATTCGTTTGGTCGCCATTTCAAAGTAAAGTCTTGATGAAAATTTGCTTAGTCTGCAGGGATGCTGTGGCAGGGTTTTTGTAACTAAAGATAGTATTTAAATGTTGAATTTCTTGTTAGCCAAAATGTCTTGGATTTCAGAGAGACATGAACGTTGTGACCTGTGACTGGAGCAAGGGCAGTGATGGTCTGCAATATATTAGAGCAGCTGTGAACTCCAGAGTGGTGGGTGCTCAGGTCGCCAGGTAAGAAAATTACGAATGCCACCATAATATTTTCTGGTCAAGTATTTTTTTTTCTTTATATACACAATTAAAAGAGTTTAAATAAGAAATAAATCAGAAAATTTTAATGGAATATTTTAGTAGAAATCCAGCCAGGAAAATGGAAATTCCCTTAGTCTGCAGGTTTGCTGTGGTGGGGGTATTTTTTGTTTATGACAGGTTAGTTGATCAACAAAATATAACAAAATACAGGTACATTAGTTGAAAAATTTTGAAGGTAGCCAAGTGGTTAGGGATCACCTTCAAATCTGAAGATTGTTGGTTTTGATTTAAAATTATATTGATTCTGGACCCAGTTATGTCATTTCTCATTGGACAATCTATATGATCCTATTAAACAAAAAAGCAATTTTAGATAGGAGCAAAACCACTGTTTTGACTGTTTCCTTAGTACAACAATGCTAATGCTGTTGATAGCCTATACACAAAAAAACACCCTTTCAGATTTGTACGATTTAAAAGACAGTGTGCAGGAAATAAAACAGTATTTTCAACAGAACACAATGCCTGTTGCTCAACTGAACTAACTGAAAATCCTAAACTTGTCAAAACTTGGAATTGAATGTGTACTAAAGGTAGTGTACCAAAGCCAAAGATAGGACACCTGTTGACTGTCGGTATTCAGGCAATGTCTGTATTGTTGAAAATACTGGCTGATGTTTTGGACAGGGGACAGCAACCCACCCCAAGGCAAGCTACAACTTGCTTGCTTGCTCTGAAGATGAAATGCAGCAACACAATTGACATTTTTGATCACTATTTCACTATTTATTTTAGTCCAAATGACGACATAGTCAAATCAAGCAATTTTTGTTTTAACAAGTAAAACAAAAATACCGTTAATAAACTACTACCTTTTTCACAAGGTAGTACATGCAAAAACAGGCAAAAAAAGGTAGTACAGGCAATCGATTACCATCGTTGTGTAATGCGATTATACAGCATTACAATATAATACAAATTTTATCACATGGGCTTCTGCCTGTGAGTGAAGAGTTCTACACTGACTGCTCAATGGTTATCTTGATACTATTTTCACACACAACAAACATTTACTCCTTATTCTAATATAAATTAAATACATCTGCGCTTTTAGGCGGGGTGAAAGTAGGAAATGGATTGGGGACTGCGGGTTTATAGACAGTAATCAGACTAAGTTTCTTTTGTCCGTAAATCTTAAATGTTAAAAGTTTTACACACTCGATAGACATATATTAATTTTTAATAATTTGAAATAAAAGTAACTTTATTTGGTAAAGGTGAATAATTTCAGTCATCTCCTGGAGATCAAGATTTGATATTTTGAAGCCAAAATAATCTTTAGCGATACTATTTGCAGATTCATTAGTTACTTGTTGGAGAACAAGCTGGCAGTGGTGGACAGGATTCATCTGATTGGCCACAGCCTTGGTGCTCATGCATTGTCCTACGTGTCTGCCAAGATCAAGAACATCGCTAGACTAACAGGTACCATACCAGAAAAGTAATTTTTCAGCGTTCCCTCAGTTTGCATGTGATGTGCTATGAGCCCGAGAGATATTTGCACCCCACCAAATCCTTGCAGGCAAATTTTTCCCTCCCTTGCACAACAATAAGCCTAAACTCTTGCGCCTTTGGGTTTGGGCCCTATTTAGTTCATTTACTAATGTAGACCTGTTTTTCAGCATTGTTTTTTGTTAGTTTTGGATTAATTTGCACCATGGCTTGGAAAATAAATAAATGAGACATTTGATATTTTTACTGCTTATTTATCTCGTGTTTGAACAGCATAGTTTATAGGGTTAATAACTTTCTTCTCTATCCTTCACTATCCTTTGATGTCTCCCTGCCATAGGTAACGGTGTGCTCAATAAAAACGACAACTAGTAAAGAGTACACTGTATTAGTTTACGTTTAACTTTAAACATTTGATTTAAAATATGGTTTCAATCCTAACAAATATTTCTAGACAGAGAATGGTTTTGGAATGCCATTATATTGTGTTCCCCTTGAAATCAAACCCAGGTTCACCTTCACCAACATCTTGGGTAGAAGAATTAAGCTGTAAGAGGAATTTCTACAATGTGAATTAAGATTCCAACAATACAGTGCTAATCAGGCTGATCATTTATCTAGTAAAGATATTCACAGGCGAAATATGTTTTTGGACTCCAGGTTTAGACCCGGCACAGCCCGGGTTTGAGGGAGCTCACCCGGACACCCGTCTGAACCCGAGTGACGCAATGTTTGTTGATGTCATTCATACCAACGCTGACCACTTCATCACCTGCCTTGGGTTGGGAATGATGACACCCGTGGGTGAGTGCTATGATACACAACACAACAAACACATGTGGATGTGACATGGGGGTTGTGTGGGTGACAAGTGTTACTTATTCATCTATATATTTAATACACAGTTGTAACACTGTTTTCTCAGTAATTACTGGACCGATCCACAAGATTTATGTCTCAAATTAAAGGGGATGGTGCGTAGATTTGCCGAACTTCCTTAGAATTTACGTTTTTTCTAAGGGCTACGACCTATAGCCCTTTAAAGGTCGAGTCAATAAACAATTCTTATTGAAGAATATAATACACAGTTTATAAATTATTCGTCAGCTGTTTAATGTTTGTCAGACATTTGTTATTATTTTTATAACCTCACTTTCAGTATGCAATTATTAAACTTGGAGTTTCTGTTTATAAACACACGATTTTGATCGAGGAAAGTTAGTGTATTTGTTAACTTATTTTTGAAATGTTTTAGTTTTCCTGCAAAGTGATCTAAATGAAAGTGATAATTGAGTTTAAGTTTGAGTATGGAATGTGAAATAATACACATAGTAGGGAACTTAAACTTATTGTTTTGATCAATATAATTTATTCTCTACGGCTACCAGAATAATCATGGGGAAATCCGCTTGCAAGTTGTACATATAATTGCTAATGAGTGGGATTTTATAGTAGGTGACGAATCTTACTCAAGATCAGTGTTAGACGTTCAGTGGTACTAAACTTTACCTTCTCGAGATGGCGAGTACGCTGGGATACGTGGAACTACAATATATCAGTGAATTTTTTTCAAGTACACAGGGAAGTTGCTTGAGAAACTGTGACTTACCATTCAGTTCTGGCGAAGAAGTATGTGACTTGATGTTTAATGGCAATGTTGACTCGGGTCATTATAGCGTTATAAAACTTTATCATTAACCCCAGGGTGTGAAAAGTACAAAAAGAAAAAGAAAAGGTAATCATTAACCGGGCGTAAAGAGACATACCGAACAAAAAAAAAAATGTAGAGAACCATCGAACTAAAAAGGTAAAGAGCAGTGTTGGTGTTAAATGTGCTCTGGAAGTCACTACAAAAAATACCAACTCTTTTGAATTGGGGTCGTTAGATTGGATTTGTCACTACTTCAAATCTATGAATTTCGAGTCAGAACAGACTAACTGGGACACAAAAATGTTTTAGTTTTCCTGCAAAGTGATCTGAAGGAAAGTGGTAATTGAGTTTAAGTTTGAGTATCGAATGTGAAATAATACCCATAGTAGGGGACGGAAACTTATTGTTTTGATCAATATAATTTATTCTCTATAGCCACCAGAACAATCATAGGGAAATCCGCTTGCAAGTTGTACAGATAATTGCTAATGGTTGGTAAACATACAAACATTTTATCGTAAGTGATTAATCTTACTCAAGATCAGTGTTCGACGTCCAAATTTTACCTTCTCGAGATGGCGAGTACGCTGGGATACGTGGAACTACAAGAACTATACCCTACTATATTTTTTGAGTAGGCCTACACAGGAAAGTTGCTTGAGAAACTGTGACTTACGATTTCGGTTCTGGCGAAGAAGTATCTGACTTGATGTTTAATGGCAATGTTGACTCGGGTCATTAAAGCGTTATAAAACTTTATCATTAACCCCAGGATGTGAAAAGTACAAAAAGAAAAAGAAAAGCTAATCATTAACCGGGCGTAAAGAGACATACAGAACGAAAAAAACATGTAGAGAACCATCGATTTAAAAAGGTAAAGAGCAGTGATGGTGTTAAATGTGCTCTGGAAGTCCCTTCTAAAAAATACCAACTCTTTTGAATTCGGGTCGTTAGATTGGATTTGTCAGTACTGCAAATCTATGAATTTTGAGTCAGAACAGACTAATTGGGACACAAATATTTTTTCCTTATGTTGTCACAAGGGGAAGGTAAAATGAGCTCCTTATCAACATTTTGAGTTTATGGAAAATCTTATCAACAGCGACTATAAAAAAAAGTACTAAGGGTCAAAAGAGACAAAAAACTATTTGAGTAAAATATAATACAAATCTGCATTTGAAATGGCCAGTTCTAAGTCTCACTTGAATCAACATCTTTCTGGTAGTAATAGTCTTCATAGTTTTAAAATCCACGACTCCTTTTCCATCAAATTGGACCGTTAATACCCTCTAACAACGTAAACACAGCTTTTACTCACAGTATGGGTCAAGGATTCGTGAAATGCGACCAACTGCTGATGTGTGATTTACATGTAAGTATGTATGTGACTATCTTTATTCCATACAACAAATGTAATGAAAAAAAAACGACGAATGTAAGAATATACTTGAGCAAATTATCTAAATAGGCCTATCATAAATAGCTGCTTATTAGGTTATCAGCATTGCCCAGATCGTATACTATTTATTTTTCAAATGAAACTCGAATTAATATAAAACATTCATTTGGTTAAAATAATACATCGGTTTGATTAACATAAAATAGTTTATACAGGCAAACTATCAGTTCTATTTCATGTAAAAAATTAAACAACCCCTAAATAAAATACAAAGATAAACAGTATTTGTTAATTATTATTTCTTTTATTGCTGACAACATTCCCGTGGTGGAGCACGGGCGGTTAACTAGTTAAGATTATTTTACCGATTTAATTATAGTTCTGTGATTATGTTAAAATCTTGAGAAGCTGATTAGCTTAGTTAAAACCAATGTTATTGTTATTATCTGCCTTAAACATTTATTCCGAATCACACCATTTTTTTGTGGTGGATTGTTTCCCCAACTTTCTCAGTTGTATTTGCCAAACTGTCATAAATTATACTCTAATTTTTAGCGAATTTCCCTATAGGGAAGTAGCTATTACCGTAGGTGGCACGGTAAGACCTAGACCCGGGACCGATTTACTTTTTCATTTTGATGTCCCCAGAGGCCAAAAACACTATTCGTTCAAATTTTTATATATGTATATATATATAGACTTATATATATATATATATATATATATACGTCCGTGAACGCGATAACTTGAGTAATTTTTGTCCGATTTTGATGAAATTTGGTTTAAAGGTGTAAAGCGGGATAAACTTGAATGAGTTCGCGAACCAGCACGATCGGAACATGGGAACGGGGCTTTACGGGGGGTTTTATGGGGTAAAAATTGGTTTTTCTCACTTTTGACCCTCAAAACACAAAATTTCCCAATTTCTCTTTAGACCTTTTTAAAGAGCTTATAAAACAAATAATTTAGTATATAAAAGTATTTTTGTTCGAATATTAGTAACGGAGAAAATTAAAAAAAATGTAAGTTTAAAATTCCCATGTTATTCTTATGGAGAATATTGTCAAATGTTGTAGTTTGCTTGTTTATGAATATATTTTGATCAAACTTGGCAAATTTATTTATTTTGTACTAAGCTATCAATATTTTACTCAAAAACACACTTTATTAGTTTCCTTGTAGCAGCAAACCTAGGTACTCGTTAAATCTAATGTTATTAAAATATATTTAACTGAAAATAAATTCAGACAAATGGAAATTCGCTTAGTCGGCAGGTTTGCTGCGGCGGGGGTATTATTTTATTTACAGGGTTATTCAATAAGAATTGTGCACAACTGAACGGTTGGTAAGTCTTGTTTCTTGCGATTTCAAACAGCTTGACTGTTAAAACAATGGTATAAAGGGTGTGTTTTGACAAGGTCAAGGTTGGGTTTTATCTCAGTTGCTTAGTTGAGTATTACATATTACCAAGCCTGTCAATAAATGGGTACCGGTACTACAAAACAAGAAGAAGCATTTTGGGTTTTAGAGTTTGCTACTTTAAAACAACCGTTTTTGGTTGTTGAGTACTAGTGTTACTGCGTTAGTGTGTTCATTGGAACTATTGGAGCGGAGTCATCAAGGGTTCAATTATGAAAGATGTTTGAATCTGTGATACTGTTAATCGTTTTTGTAGGTAGCTGTGTTATTGTTATTCTTATAGGCTAAATCTGTGATATTTAATTTTATTATTTAAATAATTGTACTTGACAAGGTCGTATGCACTGTACATTTTGTGTTCTTAGACCAATAAATCTCTTGACTCTTGACTTGACTAGGGTTCATATTATGTTGTTTTTGTCATACTGCAGTAAAAACAGTCATTTTTAATTAATGCGTTGCGGGTCTAAAGAAGCATTTTTACTCTTTAGGGAGTAAAAATAGTTTTTAGCCTCTATGGAGTAAAAATCAGCTGTTGTCAACTCAGCTGTTAATTTCTATTGTAAACGATTGCATGTATTGAAATATGTATCGATTCGTGCTTCGTAATCATTTTAACCTACAGTCTACAGTCTCTTCCCATAGCATTTTAGCATTGCAGATACGAATCCATTCCCACACTCAACACTGCTCACCTTTACTACTTCCTTCACCACCCCCTACGTCGTGGACCTGTTTCCCTCTCTTCCCATAGCATTTTATGATTGCAGATACATTAATGTAATTGCTTAAGGCAGTTCCCACACTCTGCACTGCAAGCATTACTACTTCCTTCACCATTTCCAACGTCATAGACCTGTTTCCTTCCCTTCTCATAGCATTTAAGTATTAGATACATTTATCTAACTGCCCAAACGGTTTCCCCAGTCTGCACTGCTAGCCTTGACTACTTCCTTCGCCACTTCCTACGTCTCAGACCTGTTTCCCTTCCTTCCCTTAGCATTATTGGATTGCAAATACCAAATACGTTAATCTTTTGGTCATAAACAGATCCCACACTCCTAATAACTCGCCTTTACTACTTCCTTCACCACTTCCTACGTCACGGACCTGTTTCCGTCCCTTTCCATAGCATTTTAGGATTGCAGATATCTTAATCTAATTGTCATAAACAGTTACCACACTCCAAACAACTCGCCTTTACTGCTCCCTTCACAACTTACTACACCACGGACCTGTTTTCCTCCCTTCCCATAGCATTTTAGGATTGTAGATACCTTAATCTAATCGTCATAAACAGTTTCCACACTCCGGACAGCTCGCCTTGACTACTTCCTTCACCTCTTCCTACGTTGCAGACCTGTTTCCCTCCCTTCCCCATAGCATTTTAATAAACAGTTTCCACACTCCGAACAGCTCGCCTTGAGTACTTCATTCTCCACTTTACGTCGCGGGCCTGTTTTCCTCCCTTCCCATAGCATTTTAGGATTGCAGATACCTTAATCTAATCGTCAAAAACAGTTCCCACAGTCCGGACTGCTTGCCATTACTACTTCCTTCACCACTTCCTACTTCACGAACCTGTTTCCCTCCCTTCCCATAGCATCATAGGATTGCTAATACCTTAATCTAATGGTCATAAACAGATCCCATACCCCGAACAGCTCACCTTTACTACTTCCTTCACCACTTTATACGTCGCGGACCTGTTTTCTTCCCTTCCAATAGCATTTTAGGATTGCAGATACCTTAATCTAATCGTCATAAACAGTTCCACACTCCGGACAGCTGGCCTTGACTACTTCATTCACCACTTCCTACGTCGCGGACCCGTTTTCCTCCCTTCCCATAGAATTTTAGGATTGTAGATACGTTAATCTAATTGTCACAAACAGTTCACACAGCCCGGACTGCTTGCATTTACAGTAGTCGCAGCTAGTCTGGGCGCGCAGCCGCGCTAGAGCGGGGGGTGTAGAGGGGAGTGTTTATTGCTCATTTCCAAAAACATCGGGCCCAAACTCTATGGGGTTGTTCAGCGCCTCAGCGCTGTCTTCATGGCTTTGGCGTGGGGGACGGTTAGCACACAAGGGTCCACGTGCCCAGACTAACTGCGACTACTGTACTACTTCCTTCACCACTTCAGGTCACGGACCTCAAGCTAGTGTCGTCATTTGATTATATTATGATACATACCGTTTCTGTTCTAATATCTGTGGAATAATTCTATCAGCTATTTCTTTATCTACTGCATTCAAAAGTCAACAGCTGATCATATGTCTTTGTTTATGTGTCAAATAATGCTTCCATAAGGATTACATTGAAACTTTGAGACCCAGTGGGGTGGATTCCTGAGAGACTTTTTTAACGCCATATAGATGTTGGCACTCACCGATATGGTCTTTATCACCATGCAAAATTTGAAAACGATTGATTCAGCCGTCTAGGAGGAGTTTGCGTATTACGAAATGCATAAGAGTTGACGTATAAGAGCTTCGCTCAATAAAAATTAATGACCTTCAAATTGAATTTCCTTTCTCCAAACATTAAGCCCAGCTGATTAATAGGTACATCAGATGCAAATTTAAATAACAGAACACAAACATAGGACAATCAATGGAGATAATGTTTTTGTTTTAATGGAGTAAAATGCTCTGATTCAAATAAAAATCTTTTTTATGATTTAAAAAATTTATTTGGATTCTTCTCTAATTTTTAAGTTTCTGGAAGGTGGTGTAAAAATCAGTGATCCAGAGGCTATACCATAAAAATGAAGCTGTTTAAAATTACGGAAACAGGTGTACCAACCGTTTAGTGCTTAAAAAAAACAGCTTGAAAACATCTTAAATGAAAAACTCTCATTCGAGTTGAATATTATTTACAATGCCGCCATACGCATCTTAGACCACAAAAGATAACAGCTGATAGTGAGTGGGGGGCTATCACTTCCGGCACACGGCAGTCATGACCTACCTTCTACCGGCGCCGTACGTGTCTGATGTTTAATTATGCGCTTTTTCGTTTTGTGTTTTGGCCAATCAGTGTTAAATGTTTCGTGTACGTGTATGTGTTATTTTTTTTTTGAACTTTAAACCTTATGACGACCATTCTATGGAATAAATCAATGCAACAATTTGACCTGAAGATGTGTTAATATTAACATGAAACAGCTGTAGTCAACCAACTACAAACCAGGATCACTTGACGGATACAGGTAATTTAAACCTTTTATTGTAAAAATCAGTGATCCAGAGGCTATACCATAAAAATGAATCTGTTTAAAATCACGGAAACAGGTGTACCAACCGTTTAGTTTTGCACGATTCTTATTGAATAGCCCAGTATATCTATTATGTATCTAATATTTATCCATGCTTTATATCGTTTTCATGTTTTCTAAATTTTTACAGGTCATGTGGACTTTTTTGTAAATGGTGGTCAGAAACAACCTGGCTGTTGGTTTAACAAAGGCATTCTCTGGGAACACATAGCTGCTTTGACTGAAGCTGTTATTGGTAAGCATTTACCATTGAATCAAGACAACAATTTGATCCATAGCATATTTTAACAAATATGTAAGGCGTTAGGATCGCTTTTCCTTCCCCTAACATTTGCTATTCTTTTATTCAAAACGTCACTTGCGTGGATACACATAAAAACTAATTATAATTACTTAATTATTGCCTCCTCTAGTACAAGGTCCCAGCAAGACAAAAGTGGCATCGTCTCAGCCCTGGCATACCAAAACAGCTGGCACTAATTCATAACTGTGCTTCTGTACCTTATTACTGTTGCTACATGGCAATAGGCTGGCCGAAGCAACGTTGCCACAACCCTATACTGTTGATAAGAGGAAGCTATGATGATTGATTCAATAATCTTGTTTAGGGGGGTAAAATCAATTACTGTGTTGAGAAATGTAAACCAGGTCATCATAGAGTAATGTAAAATTAAATTGTTTCTTGTTGCCATAGAGACCAATTAATGTTTAATTCCAACTAGCTGTACCCGCGGGCTTTGCCCCGTTTAACTTCACAAGTGAGCTCGTTCGCATGGCTCAATCACGTCCTGGTTGAACCCGCGGGCTTTGCCCCGTTTAACTTCATAAGTGAGCTCATTCGCATGGTTCAATCACGTCCTGGTTGAAGTTCGTTCATTTCAACCAAGTAAGTAAATGTTTGTAGCAAACTGTTAAATTAGCAAACTTATTTACAGTTTACAATTAACATATGTTCTTGTTCTCACTTTTAATTTCTGACAACAGCTGGAGTTTCATAACAATGTTTGTTTCCCATGTTAATCTTATGGAGAAATACGAAACTTTAAAGGGTCCCAGGGCCTCACTCTCTAATGATTTCCCTAAAAAGAAAGTTTCCTGCACAACTTCAAGTTACGCTCTGTCCAATGACACCAAAAACATATTAATCGGTTCAGCGGTTTCGGAGGTGTAATTGTCACAAAAAACCTGCTTGCGTATTAAATAACAAGGGTTTAGCCAGATATTTTAAGGACATTAATAGACCTGTGATAACTGAGTTTATGTTTTATGACTTATGATCTACTTTTAATCAACATTATCTGTTTTATTTTATAATAATTGTAGGTACCTACAACGATTTCTTATTGCCGATTGACTTGTTTCAGAGCAGTTGGCAGATATAATCGGCTGTAGCCATGAACGTGCTTGGACATACTACATTGAGTCTCTCAGATCAAACTGCTCTTTCTGGGGCAAGCAAATGACACTGTTAAAGTGAGTAAGGCTTTTATAATCTTATACAATAACACTCCATCATTCTTCATCAGCCACCATCAGCTGACAGTTTTAAGTATGTTTCGTTGTTTTGATTTGCTTCTTGTAACTTATTTATGTTAACTTTAAACCTATTTTAAGCAATATAATGGTGTATTTGTAAACTATATCTTACAATTAATCACATTTAATCAGTGGTATTGTGGGAAAAGACACATATTATAGGAACGTTCCTATTCTGTTTTTAGCGAATTTCCCTATAGGGAAGTAGCTATTACCGTAGGTCTCATTGTAAGACCTAGGCCCGGGACCGATTTACTTTTTCATTTTGATGTCCCCAGAGGCCAAAAACACCATTCGTTCAAATTTTTATATATCTATATATATATATATGTGTCCATCGACTTGAGTAATTTTTGTCCGATTTTGATGAAATTTGGTTTAAAGGTGTAAGGCGGGATAAACTTGAATGAGTTCGTGAACCATCATGATCGGACCATGGGAACGGGGTTTTACGGGGAGTTTTATGGGGTAAAAATTGGTTTTTATCATTTTTGACCCCTAAAACACAAAATTTCCCGATTCATCTCTAGACCATATTAAAGAGCTTAAAAAACAAATAATTTAGTATATCAAAGTGTTTTTGTACGGTTATTGGTGACGGAGAAAATTCAAAAAATTGTAAATGAAAAATTCCCATGTTATTCTTATGGAGAATATTGAAAATGTTGTAGTTTGTTTGTTTATGGATATATTTTGATCAAACTTGGCAAATTTATTTATTTTATACTAAGCTATTATTATTTTACTAAAAGACACTTTATTAGTTTTAGTTTCCTTGTGGCAGCAAACCTAGGTACTCGTTAAACCTAATGTTATTTAAATAGATTTAATTGAAAATCATTCAGATGGAAATTCGCTTAGTCGGCAGGTTTGCTGCGGCGGGGGTATTTTCAAAAAAGCCTGTGTTTTAAAGCCTGTGCGCTTTCAACTCTGGTAAGTTGTTCCAGAAATACATTTGTGACAAGCAATTAAGGAAGAGCCAAAGCAGCGAGCACTGTGAGGAAATTCCTACCGCACACTGCACAGGGTCTTCCTCCACCATGAGTGTTGTAGTACATATCGGCAAGGGGGCGGTGTTGGACTTTGTCCTAGATACTAGCAACTAGTGCTAGACACCACTTAAGTGTACCATGGAATGTTTCTTCTGTACCTTGCTTCTCTGTGGTAGTATCCACATTCAAAAAACAAAACGATACATGATATCACAATACTATAAGTATATAGCGAGCTCGCGGTTATGTTGCAGGGGTGTTTTGGCGAGTCGATGCACTCCTCAAACCTGTCAGCAAATGGGACGCTACACAAGTGTGTTTCCTGGCCGAGGCACCTTTGCTGTTACAACCAATGCTAGACCCCCATTCTGTAGTAAGTTTATGTTGCTATATCAGCAACCATAACTGCAATATACTGCAACCAATTCCTTGGTTGTTAGGTTTGGAAGGATTCCTAGAGATGTTAATCTAGAATACCCTCCTTAGCTAATTTTCTATTGCTATAAAATAACTTTCAAACGTTTATGTCAATTTGGTTTTTGCAGTATTAGACAAGTTTTGCAGTGTGTATTATTTTGTTATAATTAGGTTTCTGAATAGTTGTTTCATTGCAAAATAACAATTGTTAATAAACAATTGTTGGATTGTTCAAAAGGCCAGAATAATGTCACATATGCTTCTTAATAATCTAGGTTCGATTGGAAAAAAAATGTTAAGATAAAAATTACTCTGGGTTTGAGGCTTTTGATGCAAAATTTGTCATATTTCTAACATTGCTATGTGAAGTAAGGAGCGCTGAAGTCAGCCTGATTAGCAAGAACAAGATTAACTCTGAGAGAAAGTGGAACAGTTTAGTAAAATATTTCAACAACAAAATTATACACAAAAAAGAAGAAAAGATAAATTTCCAAATTTAACAGTTATTGTACTTCAAAAATCTATTTTTCTATAATAAACCATTTTCTTGTTTCAGTCAAAGAGCCATTGAATGATTACATAATGACATATCATAGAATGGGTCTAACCAAACCAGGCATCGAACAGGAAAAATACGGAGGAATATAGTACCAATTCAATTTCAAAACTTTTCATAGGTATCTATTTTTATTTTGTACAGTTTGTAAATATATTTGAACTATTTGAGTAATACTGTAATACTTAACCCATGGATTTGTTTATCACTATGATTGTAAAAGTAGAAATCTATTACAAGTGAGAAGTAGGTTTTGACAGAGTTAAAAATCTCTTTAATTTAGCCTTTGCTCTTTCAGCCATCAAAGGTTTGCAAATTAGGTTATTTTACTATATACTTTGGCTTCCAAATATCAAAAAAGGCATCCCATCTCTTGCCATTTTTAAACCTGATGTATTCTTTTTGATATTACTGTACAACATATTTGTTTAGTTATATTAAAAAAAAGGTTGGCGGCCTCTTTTTACTTGCATTGCCCTCATGAGGGCCACAGAGGCCTCTGCTTGGAACATATCCAGCAAAGCAAAACAGGATGAGCTGGTACAGTGCAAGGGTGAACTGTTCTGATAAAAAGTAGTGGCAGGTAACAGGATCGAACCCATGACATCGCAGCCTTGGACCTGAAGTCCGTGGTGCTGCCAAATAAGCCACCGACTCACTATTTCTCTTTATGCAAACGAATATATGACATAAAATGCCACAGTTTAAAATTCTTCACCTTGGGAGCGGTTAAAAAGTCAGTGTATTCCTCGGGAATCTGTTATTGACATCAGAATACTCTGTTTAAGTTCAATTTAACCAACAAAATTGTTTATTCTAGAAATGGGCAGAGCTCTACGTAAGAAAAAATGCCAAGATCCAAAGTATGAGATGGGATGATCACCTTATTGGTATCTAATAGTCAATTAACTAACACTCAAAGCAATAAGGATAAAATATTACACAAATACAACCAAAATGTAGATGGTGGATATTTTAAAAGGCTTAATAATAAAGCATTAGAATTTCTTACAAATACCTTATAAAGGTAAATATTCTAGTGTATAACGTTAGCTTGTAATGTGTTCAATAGCAGTAGCAAGCTTCTCGGGTGTGTTTGATGATCCAAGGTAGGTAAGCGTTGACTCGGGTGTAGACACCCGGACGGTTAGGCCTGGCACAGCCGATGCCCCATGACACAATACCTGCAAAACAGAAGGTCTTTTGCTATTTTCTGGTAATATAAGTTGAAAAAGATTATGCAGTGATCTGATATATTTCACTTTTACAATTTCATTAATTTCAACACTTAACATTTGAAGCAAGATTGTTTCTGGACCCTGATGTCATTTGCCATTGGGCTATCAATTATAGATGCTATCTTAAAGAAAGATGTCACAGTGACAAGATAGGTGTAAACCTATTACAAATTACCTAAACAATTGTTTCATTTATAAAAGGCATTCATGCAATATGTTATGCATTTTAAGCTGAATAATTACAGGATTAGAGTAGAATGAAGTGAGATGCCTTGTGTAGCTTTGTTACAGACGAAGTACGTCTAATTCTTTAGTCAGAACACAAAAATGTAAAGTGCAGAGGAAACATTCAATGGTACACTTTTTTTTTGGGGGGGGGGGGGTTAGGGTATTCATCCACCCCTAGTTACTTTGGCCTGTTGACCTATTGTAGCACCCCTTTGTTAACAATGGTACTCTTAAATGGGGTTTAGCACTAGTTGCTGGTGTCTAGGGCAAAGATCTATCTATGGATTAAGATGGTCTGCTAGTTCTTGCTTGGTAATTATTTACAGTGAATGGTAAAGGACTTTTAAGATGTTTTTAAAGATCATCTTTCTAAATTGTTGAGTGTTTGGTATTAATATTTTGTATTCAAAGTGCATGAATATTTTTGAACTTTTATATTCCTTGGAACAGTGAATATTATTTCCGAGTAACTTGAAATTATCTACTAAGCCATACCTGCTTGAAACATTCGCTCTTGCCAGTCCTCGATGATTAAGGAACCACCACTATCACCCTGAAAAAAATGCAGTAAAACAATTATCCAAATAAAATAAATAAATAAATTATAGTTTTGTCTGTACACGTTGGTACATTGATTCTTGTGTGAGCATGTACTATTACTGATTGTATAAATTTGTATCTTTTGTGCATGGTACTTGTTGTTTAATGGTTTTTGCCAGAAATAAACTAATTGAAATGAATTGTACATTCTGAAAGGTTTTAAAAGTAGAAAGACGAGGAGAATAGAGGAATGAGATTGCAAATATGGTGTTAGGAACTAGGAAGAGTAACTGTGGTCAGTAAGAAAAGATCAATGTCGTGACCCAAAAATAACTGAAACAGAAGATGATTTTTGTAACTAAAAATAAATCACACAGTTATCTCATAACAGTCATGACAGTGTTTGTATACACATTATGGTTACGCTTTGTTGGAGTTCAAACTGACGTTTATCTCAATCTTGCCAATGACTGACACACATGCTCCACTTTGTATCACTCTTCCTCCCTTATTGTAGATGAAACTAAAACATTACTTTAAAAGACAAACAGTGCTCTGAAAAGCTGCTACAAAAACAAAAACAGTACTCTGAAAATAAACAGCTACAAAAACAGTGCTCTAAACTTTGATACTTATTACTTTTATCTGAAATGGCATCAAACGAAGGTAGGTATTTTAAGCCAAGTATGAATGGAGATGAGTGTAAGATAAGTGGCGTGATTTTGTAGTCTTGTTAACTAATGCCGACATGTTCCTTAGACAGGACCGTTAATTAATAGCATACAGCCAATGGCAACCAAGAGACCTACAGTTTTTAGTAAAATCCGAACTATTTTTTGCCTTGTAATTTACGAATTGGTCTAATTAGTACTGCAGATTACTGCAGATAGTCTAGTATTCACTATAGTGTGGACGTTAATCCTCGCCAGGGATTATCACATTCACAGATCATTATCAAACATGGCATTACATAAAAAAAAAAGCGCAAGTCCAGAGATGTGATCCTGGGTGATGCCTTACCTGACAAGTGTCTCTGCCGCCCCCCATGACTCCTGCACACATCATGTTGCTAGTGACCTTGTCAGCAGAGTAGCCAGGGTAGTTGTGACAGGCAGAGTTTGCCATTACTGCCACGTGGGTCTCTAGCAGCTCCATGGACGTAGGACCGCCCTCCTTGGTGTGGCCCCAGCCTGTAACCCGGCCTAGTCCTCCGGTGAACTGGTCACCTGCGAACAATAAACTTTGGGAACACCATTCCATACAAATGTGTATGTTGATATTCACTTGTTTTTCATAAAAACCTCGGTTTACCAACCTATTGGGTGCCAATAGGTACCAATACCTGAAAATATCCTGTTTGGTTTTAAGACTAGACAACTATAGTCTGGATGTAACCTGTCTCCTTACCCTTTGTCTACTAGTCTACTTTGACTATGGCCCAGACCTAAAACCATTGGCCAGATAGACGGAGGGTCTGGAGACAGGTTCTATCATACAGACTATAGTAGCGATTGATTTAAAAACTGGCATACGTAAATACAAAAGCTTGTTTACCATAAGGATTAGTATTTAACTAAGAGATCAAAAAGAAACCTTCATATAAAAAATAAAGTTAAGTTTGTTCCTTTATAAAATTTGTATAAAATGGCAGTGTATAATTGTGGGTACATGCTCAAAAATAAATTACAATTAAAAATTGATAGAAGTATAATATGGTCTTGCCCTAACATCTAAATAACTTTCTTTACTTGCAATGTAGGTGCTTTTATTTTTTTTTACATAGGTAGCATTGAGGAAGGTTATTATTTAAGTCATCTACTTCAAAATAATGTCTATAATCAGAAGTTTAAGAAATAAACCAAAACTATATAAAAATAAATAATTGTATAAAGATTAAACAACTAGGATGAATTTTTAAAACCATTACCTTGTAAAATTGAACTAATGAGATAACTAAATTTCTAAGATAAGTAAGTTGATACCTGAAGGTGGCATACAAATCGGAGCAACATCGACTCTAAACTTAAGCCTCTTGTCTAGCCGGAGTAGAGCAATGTCATTGTCGTATTGTACTGGTTCACTGAACGACTCATGGACCAAGATCTTAGACACTGATCTTGTCTCAACCATCGATTCTTCCATCGTGGCTTTGTTGTGTTCGGCCAGAACCACTTTTATTTCTGTGTTCTTCCTTGTGCTGCAAATATTAATGTATCAATAAATAAGAGCGAGAAAAATGTTTTGGTAAAAATAAATTATTGACTAACAAAATTATGATTCTGAGACATACAATTAATTCTTGCTAGTAACACTAGAATTATTAGTATACACGATTACTAAAAAGTTCAACTTTTTAGCACACAGATAAGTTTCTTATGTGAGCAGCAGAGCCAAACATAGGGATGCAAAATTAAAAAGTGCAGGTCAAATCTGAGCATGTATAAGCAAGTATCACAAAGGTGAAAATAGAAAAAAAATGGAGCAAGTGCTGAAAAGATACTTTTGGTTCAATTTATGAGCAATGATTTTCATCACCATGCTATAATATTAGTAGTAATTTCTATAATTTCTTTAGTTTTCTATTAAAATTAATATGTTAACAGAAACATGCAAATTCAATGAGCAAATAATAGGTATTAAAAAGAAATATTATAGTAATCATAGAATACAATATTCCGTTTACAAGATTTGGGTGGTTTTAGGGGAAGAAATCTATACCCTTTTGAAACAATAATTAAAACAGCTGAGATTTACCAAAACGTCAATCAGCTGCAACATATACATTAACACAACACAGCACACTCTTAATAATCCCTTTTTTAGTTTAGCTTTTTGATGGTTGCATCTGGGTCCATTGGGTTTTTAAATGGTCCAGGCTAAGGAAACAGCCGATTTTAGCCAGGAAAGCTAAACAAGGCATGCCACTCATCACAAACCTTATATTCATACAGAATAGATGTTTACCTAACACAGTGTGCAGCTGTGAGTATATAGAGGTCATTGATGATGGTGCCTCCGCAGTAGAACTGTCCTCGGATAGTCAAGGCGACCACCCACGGATACTCATTCACCTTCGTGGGCCAGCCTCCCACAATCCTCTGCATCCGATTGGGCAATCCGCAAGCTGTAACATTATTGTAAGGAGAGAAACCACGAAGCCTTAAAAATAAAACATATAGGCCTACAATACATATTTGTGATAAAGCCATGTTGGTGTTATTTAAAATGAATTCCCCATAACTATATGTAAACCTGTGTAGGTAACAATGCATAACAGCTAATCAGTAATGAAGTAAAGGATACAGGCTTACCAACTTATGATCTTGTTTTGTACTTAATCAGTATAGTATCTTGGTAATATTGTGGTTTAGGTTGTGTTAAAAAAATAAAAATACACCCCGTATGTGGGTCGATATGTGTGTTTCGGTGGGTTTTGTGTTGATACTGTATTATATATTTGTATACGTTTGGGTATGCTGATACCTAAACAATTTGTATATTCTGAATGATAGAACCTGTCTCCTGAACCCCCCCCCCTCTACAGTACCTGTGAGGCCATGTAGACAGCAGGTTCCATCATACAGACTATATAGTTAAGGATCAAATTTACACTGTAGCTACACTTCAGTGTTTGGTTATATTACCAGAATACAAGCAATATTTTACCATCATTATTTGTTATTTGGTGAACATTGAATCAGTTTAACAACAATTTAACATGAGTAATTTACAAAATGAAAATTAAATCCTTAGGCAAGAAAATTAGATCTAAATGTATTTCAACTTACCACATGATTTGCACAGGCCATTTTGATAGTGTGATATTCCTTCAGGGGCTTTATTTGGTTTAGTCTCATTCTGAAAAAAGGTTTCAGTGGCGTGTTATTAATTAATGACTTTGCTTGCCTTATGAACAGGACTAAACACGTTTTGTTTGGCTGAGAAAACGTTAAATAGACAATTCCTATAAATATGTGCTATGATGATTGATGAAAAATTTACTTCTGAAAATATATAGCCTACTGTATAGCTTGTGTTGTTTAAATTTAATTTACAATTAATTATATCATGGGTAAGCGGTGGGAGTAATCGTGACATTTTATGTGGAACGAAAATCACAAAATTAGCATCAACTTTTTAACAGTAACTCTCGCAGTATTGGAGATAATTTAGTTTAGGATTAAAAGAACCATAACGTAATAATGTTTTACCAAAATCGTTCTAGCCGTTTTTGTGAAAATCAAATGTTCCCGTTCCCATTATATTATGGGTTTTATAAAAATTTACCAATAAAAATAAAAAATAAAATAAAAATAAAAATAAAAAAAACGTCTAGAGATACCATGGATTAGTAACCACATACCAAATTTCATTAAAATCGGGCCACAGGTAGTTTTTAGCTCTGAAGGCTACAAATCTACTTTACTAACTGATCTTTTTTTTCTCTTTATTTAACCAAAAATTTACAATATCAAATCGGAAAAGAGAACCCACGTTTTAAAATATAACAATACAAAACGAAATCGAATAAAGTATAGGACGTGAAAAATGGTATTGCTTATATTTAAACAAAAATACCCAATAGATTTAGTCATTTAGCTCAAATCGCGATATTATTTGCTCCGAATGATAACCAATAACTAAAACAACAGTACTTAATCCGTAAACTCCATAGTTTGCCGGTATATCCATGACGTCATTCCAGATGCGAATGTCACTTTACCGTAGTTAATTAAATCGCCGCCGTGGTACAATGGGTAATGCATTTTACTGTTAATAGAAAATTCCCGGTTCTATGAAAATACCTTAAAACACCGAATCAATCAAATTGTAACTATACTTAACCACTATAACAGCTATTAATTTAGGTTATTATTACTGTAACTAACTACCTAATTTATTAACGTCAGCATTCAGCAAGGAGAACAAACGACAAAGATAATTAAGATGCGTAGCACATTTTATATGTATGACTCATATCAGATTATAAAGATCAAAAAATGTCTTTCTCCATAAATAACAATTTTTTACGGAAATAAGAATAATAAGCAAATTTTTGTTTTGCCAACTATAACTATAAATGCGAGTTGTACCTACTAAAATAAAATTAAAAATAGCGCTATAACATTTAAATTACGCGTGATTATGCAGACAGACGGTTTAAAATTTGATAACTCTCCTTTGAAATTTCACCATTTTTAATGGTGTCATCAATGATGCATATTTCACTATTCGTAAAGCTAATAACTGGAAGTGCTTTTGACAATTAGTCTAGTATCTCTTTTGCAAAATTCCATTTGTAAAAACTTTTACAAAGATCTAACTTTCCAGTTCTGCTTAAGTACTTAAAAGTTACGGGGTGGCTGAAGTGAAATCATAGCACTTCATAATATGTTTCTATTGGGGGTTGAAAGATACACTATGTTAGTCAGTCTTTTAACTAGAGTAGGCTATTATTTATTACTACGAAAACAGAGGCTAATCACACAAATGCATAAGCGCTGGTACCATTTGTACAGAAAATTGTTACTCAAAAATTGACTGTTACAATATTAATTTCTTCACAGTGCAAAATATGCAGTAATTTCAATTTTCCAATTTAAAGTGATCTCAGACCTTCCCATAGCCTACACTCTATTCAAATGTCGAAATATTCGTAACCTATAACGAGAATGCAATCTTTTGTAAAACTCCGTCTGGCAACTTTTTTTTAGATATTTCAAAACAACGATTTTCCACCCTTACCTTTATCAACAGTGGGTACCTTGGAGGGGTTGGACAGGGCGAAGCACCAACCATCACAACTACACACAGACATACCACAGGGGCGAGCCCGGCCATTGCACTGGCTACAATGGGGATGATCGGGGTGAAAGCTGGCACGGAAATGTCCGAAATTAGCACTAAGGTCAAAACTGTACTGCCTTGTAAGACTCTAAAAGGTTAGGATCCATTAGGTAGCTAAAATTAAATATGTTCAAAGTACCAGTGCTGCTTTCAAGTCATGTTTTCTCTGCGTCGATTGGTTTCGAACCCAAGTGCTCATTTCCAAGCTAAATATCAGCTATAATGAGATAACCAGCCCTGGAATTGTGAGGAGTGGACATTAACTATACAAACACGAGTACATGGACACGGAAACGTGAAACAAAGATTTTGCCTCATCTCATCTACCGGGACACACCAGGCGTCCATACATATTTATCATTATTTGGCCGAAATTATTTTTCGCCACACTACATAGTAAGCAGTCGGGTTTCGGCACTCTTTTTATAGCAGAAACTCGTTGTTTACAGAAAGGATTCGATAAAATCAGCTGTAGTGGAACAAATTTACCGAGGTTGTGCTCTAGAAGTGAGAATATTTTAATGACTGTACTTTTACTAACAAAGTATTAGCCCCATTGTGTTTTGGTTGTATAGTTCTACAAAGCAACGTGTTAAAACCTGTGTAAATAAGAGGTTGGTTTGTTAATTCCATAAATAGGTTCAGATTTCTTGAGAAGAGTGTTTCATACGCTATTAGACGAGTTAAAAGAACGTAAAAAGAGTTTTTAATAAATTCCGAATGTCAAAAACATCTTTCAGCGAACTTGCGAGCAACGTAAGAACAGTTAGTTGTGAAAAGTAAACAAAAAATAATGTTAAGATTAAAACAGTTTAAAAATTAAAGTTAAAAAAATAATGGTTAACCTTGCTTTAATCAACATATTTCTAATACTAAATAACACACACATTTCCTCTATGTAAATTAAGCATAAACACATTCTTTTCCAATACATAAACAAACTCCAGTTATTTGTCGAGCGTCCAAGATTGGAGTCTTATAGTTAATTAATTACTATTGACTGTTCTTTAATTATATTGTGGAAAGTCAGTAAATTAAGTGACTTTTTGAGGAATACGTATCTCTGGACAAGTGGCCTATACATAATATTCTTTATAAAATATAGTTCCGGTTTACTAGGTTGCCTTGTTCATAAAATCAAAACTTGCTGGGTAAACTAATCAAATGCCAAATAGCTATATGCCTATCTGTTGTCCACAAAAAAAGTGTAGTGAGCAAAAAAAGTAATTCCAATTTCATAACTTTCTTCTAGAGGTAGAGTAAACAATTATTCAAAGTAATTGAAACACACAAAACAAAATCTGAATCATAAACTTTCGCTTATAAAACGTCACTGTACTAAATT